TGGCAGGCCCCCGAGAGTGGGAGCCATTCGGCAGGCCCCCCCTCCTCGAAGGGCCGCTGCCAGACCGCCGACCACGCGGTGGCAGAAGGTCTGAGGGCCATGGGCAGAACTACTGACCAATGGCACCACCACACTATATATAGTGCAAGGAAATAAAATGCATGCACACCAAACTACAGCACTTCTTCAGTGCTGCTGTGAGGGCAACAATCAGCGTTTCAAAAGAATTACTAGTAGATGGGCATCAAGCCTCGTGTTGGTGAAACACAATAGCTTCTGGGTCAGGCGGGAGCTGCGCTTAATGAGTTTGAGAACGTTTGCATAAAGGCTTAAGCGTTGTGGAAACCTTGGGACCAAAGGCAATGCGGACGGAATATAAACATTCGAACACAAAGTTGGCGGGCATGCCAGAATTGGGGATGACTCACCAATTTCTGGCATGACCCTTGGGATTCCCGGGCGGGCACCTATAAATATGGGTGCACTCCGCCCATTTTGTAACCGTGAGATTTCCCGTTCCTTGGGTCCCGAATTGGACCAACGGGCCCGGAGTTGCTGCCAAGGCTCCGTGCCCCTTACAGCTGCATTAAAGTATACATTTTATCAAGGTGAACCAGCCCCTTTTTCAGAGGGTGTTTGGCAATATGCAAGTCCCTTTTTTAGGAACCAAACACTCACCACTTTCAACCAAATATACTACATACTTTTTAGCATGTTTTTCCTACAAACCAACTTGCTCCAAACGGTGTAGGGAATACAATTTCTTCTCCAAAAACTGCCCTAACCCATCTCAGAATCTCATAGCTCTTTTTTCAGGAGCTGTTGGATCAATGCACGCATCCCTTTTCCAGGGATTAATCGTGCACCTATCACAATCAAGCGACAAACATGCTTTTTTAGCGTGTTTCCACAAACAGGTCATAAACTTTAGTTTCTTATTCAGAAACTGATCCTGTAGCTCTTCACAACCTCACAGCCCCTTTTCCAGAAGCAGCACCACTCTTTCAGTGGTGAACATGAACCCATCCGAGCCAATATCAAGGGCAACACCACTTTTCCAGTGGCAGCCGGAAAACAACCACTTTTTCAGTGGTATACATTCACCATTCCCATCAAATTTCACAAGCTACATCACTTTTTCAGTGTCAACCACGCATAAACACTTTTCCAGTGGTATATATCAACCAAGGCTGTATTGCTTGTATTATTGGCAGCACCACTTTTACAGTGGCAAGTAACCTTCAGCCACTTTTTGAGTGGCAAACACCATTTGCATCAGTTCCATAACACCAAAAGGGTGCCTGAGCTGGAAAGGCACATCAGCTCAGTGCCATGCCGGGGAAAGAGACATCCAGGCATGCTCCCTAAGGCACATGCCTGTAAACTGAGCGGCTGGGGGCACAGCCCCACAAACGCACATTTGGGTGACCCCATGGCTGGAAAGAACCATCAGCCAACGGAGTACAACCCCATGTGCGCCCAAACCAATCATGGACACTCCAACTGGTCCAAAACTCCTTGTTCATGAGTCTTTCCTTTTCTCTATCACCTGTTCAGTGACTTTTTCACATTCTCTCTGGCCCTATCACTTATTCAGTGATACCCAGAGTTGTCACTTGTTCAGCGACAAACTCAGCTTTTGGGATAACCGAAGAGTGGGCAGGCTGGGCAACACACCAGCATAGCCCCATGCTGAGGCAAGACACTTCCCAACATGTTCTTGGGGCCCAAACAACTGAAGAATACGGTCGGGAGCTCAGCTCTAGGACCGTTAGTTCAGACCCTACCCATATCTGGAAAGAGACATCAGCATATGGGACAGAATCTGAAGCAAAATGGTGCGATGTGATGGCTGGCAATACAGCCAGCACGTATGTTTTCTCCACAACAATATTGCAGCTGTGGTTGACTGATGAATAAATGAACACGTGCAGCCTTAGCAAGGGGTAGTCCACCCTGGAAAGAGACATCAGGTGTGGGCCCAAGCTTTCAATCATGCACGGTTCTTTTCCAGCCTCTTTCAGGCCAGCAACCTCATAGCCTTGCGCATTTGGCTTTGAGGCTGGACACACGCCCAATCTGGACGGTATCCTTATTCATGACACATAGCCCCACCAAATATTGAGAGCCGCGGTCAATATTGGTGAGGCAGCTTCTACTAAAATACTCTTGCAGCGTAGGGTGTCGCTCAGTCGTCACCAAGCGCCCCTTGAGGCAATACTCCTCTCAACTTTCATGACTAGCTTGCTATATCATCAAAAATGCAAGCCCTTGACCAGTTTTTGTTTTTTGTTTTTGCATTTTTCTCTTTCTAGCTGGTGGTGGCATACTCGGGCCATCCCACACAGTCAGCATGCGTGTCAGACGTGAGTCCCTCGCCAGCTGAATCATAAGTGACTCACCCAGTGCAACGGTGGTCATTATGCAGCTGCGCGAACAGCATGCAAATACTAGGCATTACAATGGGATATGACAATGAGATAGATTCATGCCTTCACATATCGAATCTTCTTAAATTGCACACTTTCCTGGGCACTGTACCGCCCTCTGGAAAGCTGCCCAGCAAAGAGGATGAACCAGCGGCTTCCTCCGGACTTGGGTTTGAGTGCATGCCTTACACAATACCTCGATTGACTTGTGAGTTCGCTGGAGAGGGCCGCGTCTCAGACAGACTGTACCCTCCACCGGGTGACGGACAACTGTCACCGATGATACCCACCCACTGCTGAAGGCCTCACGTACTCCCGAAATCGCTTCCCCTTGCGTTCCCCTTATAGAGTGGTCCGCACATCGGAGGGTTGGCGCAGAGCCCGCCCCCCAGCCCCAGCCGTTGTCCGTGGTCGCTGTCAGACTGGCCCGGAGGGTCCGAGGTTGTGGGGATGCATCGTTCCAGTACGCGCTCATTTGCCCATCGCAACAATCGCCACCGCCGCCGAAAGTACTGAATAGGACAATGGCCGGAAACAGCCGCCGAGCCGCCCCGCCAAGCCTTATCGAAAGCGACTGCGAGACTCGGGCCAGGAGAACGCTACCGCGACTGCAGCCGACCCGCAAGGAGACGCAAAGGGAGGCGGTGGGGCCGTCGGCGGGCTGGGAGGAGGGGTCGATCGAGGGCCGTCGCTGCGCGACAGCACAGACAGCGGACGGGGTTCGCGACACAGCGCTCAGCGCCGCCCATCGCGGCGGCCTTCAGGCCTCCGGGGCGCGACCCAGGCGACGAGGAGGTCTGCGGGGGGCAGGGTTTCATGGATTGTCAGCCACGGCAAACAGTCGGCGTCACCTAGGACTGCGAATCAATCTCGAAGGGGCCCCGCAAGGGCGGGGCGCAGTCACTCTCGAGTGGTGGGTATTTGTTCTCTGGCCTGCCTGCGCTGATATCGCCCCCACCTTCCCTCTTTTTCCCCACTCTTCTGTCGCCCCGGGTGCGAATCAATCATACGACAACGAAGGAGCAGACGGATCAGTTGCAGAAGGCGTACCCACTGCGTTCGGGGGCAGGCCCGCTGAGCGGACAGCTTCGCGTAGCTCTCCGGCGGCCGTCCCTTTGGGATGGCGGCCAGCGGCGGTTCGTCTTGCCGCCGGCACTGCCCGTGCCGGTGGCCAAGGGAGTGGGGGAAGGGGCGTCGGACCCGAGACGGTGTAGTAAGCGATTAGTGTCCTAGGGCGCCGCCGGTCGGTATGTGCCCAAAATTCAGGTTTAGGCGCAGTTCTGGGCTCCCTGAAGACGCCATCCCACGTGAAAGGAATTTGGTGTGGGGGGAGGTGACGCCCCACCGCTGCAGTGCGACTGGGCGGGCGGTTTCGCGGGCCGCCCCCCCGCTGCGCCCCCCACCCCACCCCACCCCACCCAGCCCACTCCCGCCGGCCGCGACGCAGCCCGGCCCACTGGGTCGCGCGGAGGCTGCCTTCGGGCAGTACACCGAGCGGTAAGAGCCCTTTGACATCTTTTGCGCAACTTGAACCGCCAGAGCGTCTCGCCCCGCCGCCCTTCCGCGCGCCGTTCGAATTCCCGCCTCTGCGCATCGTCGCTCTCGCCCTACCCCGCGGGGAACCTAAGGCACCCTGCCGCCGCCTCCCGGGGCCTGCGGCCCGCCCGCGCGGGCGGCATTCATCATCACGCGCAGAATCGTGATGGCACGCGTGATCGTGACGGGCCGAGCGTGCTGCTGCGATGAGTGCTCCGCCGGGCGCTGCAGAGGCAATTTGGGCTGCGCTGGGGCGGTAGGGCGCCGCGCTGCAGCCGCGTGCGCCGCCTCCGCCGACATGTGCGCAACCTGCCAGCCCGCCGTCCCCGCTGATGAGGCGCGTTTCCGCGGCCAGCACGCACCAGGGTGTACCGCGATGGCGCTGTTGCGCGGCGAGGGCGCGAAGCCGAGCGAGAACGCGGCGGAGGCCGCACCCGGGCGCGTCCTTCGGAGCAGAGGCCGAGAGCCGCGGCCTGCTGCCACGCGACACACCGATACTGTCGTGTCCGTATCGCGGCGCCGTCCGTGATTGTTCAGATTGAACTGATTGTTGAGGCGAATCTGGATGTCACTCGTGTTGTGCTGCACAGCGCCACCGAATTGGTTTCTTCTTGACCGCTTTCGTAATTCATAACTTCCAGTTGTCGCAGCATCATGCCCAGCATATAAAATTGTCGCAGCATAGCGCCCAGAACTGTGACAAATGACGGTGAAATCACATGGTGCACATGTGCGCCTTGAAAGCCGTGCTTCACATTGCCCACTGGTGTGTCCGCTTCGGCATGCTTCGGCAATCTCAGCGACCCAAGGCTGGGCACAAAAACAGATAGATTGTCGACGATGGTGGTCCCCAAAACCCTTTTTTCACAGAATGCCACATCCTGCAGTCTCAACGCCCGATGTGCCAGGGAGAGCTGTTCTTCATCTTTACATTCCTGATAGCTGCAGCTGAAGGCTGCTGAGCTGACAGTGCGGGCAAGGTAGCAGCAAAATGCACTGTTTTGTGGGCACACCAGTGGAGTGAGTCCTGGCAGAATGCTTGGTTTATGGGTGGCTGTGCCACCTGCAAGGATGTCCACAATCTCTCAAGAGCAGCACGTACACTGCATGCAACAGTCTCCAGTGGTCAGTTGCTGTAGCAGCCAAGTGCGTTGTCAAAAGGATGCCTGTGGCTGCAAGCGCTGTGCTTTTGGCCTCTCGATTGTTGCAAGCTCGCACATAGGCTTTTTCTTCACCCAGGCATCAAATGTTATTTTGCTGCTGCTGCAGAACTCAGGGTGGCCGGAAGTAGTGGACCCATTATTCGACCATTGCTCGATAGGGTCCACTTGTTGGTTTCTGTTTCCAACGTGACATGTAGCCAGCACAGACTTGTAGAGGTAGAGCCCCCGCAAAGGTGAGCCAGCTTTGCCTCATCTGCACACTTATGCCGGGCCATCCAGGGCCTTTCAGTGCTGCCAGCAGCACGTGGTGCTGTTGCCGTACGAGATATGTGGCCAAGGTGGAACTGTGTCGAGCTGCTGCAAAGTTGGCTTGTTGGGTACCCACTGCTGTAGTCTGTCAAGATGTGTCTGTACATTCCGGATAGAGTGTATGCCACAGATACGACACAACTTGTGAGAGTGGAGCATGTATTCCTGACAATTGTTGAGCGTTTATCTGTCTCTCAGCTAATGTCCCTGCTTGCAGCTGCAGGGTTCTCGAGCATATCAATAATGGCGTTTTCATCAGCAGACATTGCAATGCTGATTAATGAATGCCTTACTACCTGGAAGGCAATCAAGCCCCGACAGATCGTGCTGGACTACCTGGCCAATGAAATCCACGAGCTAGGTGTGGAGCTGGCAGATGTGAGGCATTTGAGCCAGGACACGGTGGGCCGTTTGATTGTCGTCATGGGGGAGGTAAAGTCACTGCTTCGTCAATACACAGGCGCTTCGACGTCGTGCACCAGCAGCAGGATGCTCCGGGTGTTGCCTGCGTGCCTTTCCAGACCAAAGACGCCACGAGACCTGCTGGCGGAAATCGAGCGGCTTCAGGCACAGCTGCATGCAGAGGCGACCATCAGAGAGAGTGTGGCGATGCGGGCGCAGATCCCCAACTTGCTGAGCATGCTCGCCCTGCGAGCTGTTGTCAGCAGTGAAAGGCTTGAGGGGGCATTGAAAAATTTGGCGATTCTAGCGACTGCTCCCGACTGTGGAAGGAAAATTGCGGAGTCTGGGGGCATCGCCCTTTTGGTGAAAGTAATAAAGAAAGGCAGTCGAGGGTGCCAAATTGAGGCAATGAGGGCGCTGGGAAATTTAGCACTGTCATGTCCAGAGCACCAGGTGTCCATTGCACGCTTGCATGGTGTCAAGGCTATCGTTGACAAGCTCACGGGCAAGCGTGTGTATCGGGAGCAGGCATTGTGTGCCGTGGCCAACCTTACAGGTCTCGATGGAAGGAGCCTGGAAAGGGTGTGGCGAAAAGTGTTTTCACCTTTAGGACGTTTCACAGAGAAAGGAATTTCATCATTGTGGAAGCTGCATGCCGTTCGAGCCCTTGCGGGACTCTCCCGCCGCGAGAAGCTCCATGGGAGCCTGGTAGACAGTGGTGTGATTCCACAGATGCTGGGCATGGTGGACAGCGCCGATCCGGTGCTTGTCAACCTTTCCATCAAGGCCCTTGCACGCATCAGCTTCAAGGAAGACTATTGCCAGCTCATCAGAGCGGCCAATGGAATTGATACAATTGTTAGGATCCTCTCCATCGAGCCATTTCGAACGCACAGCGCGGGCGCAGCCCTGTGCGTTCTGGCCAACCTGGCTGGCCTGGAGGACAGTCACGACGTCAGGCAGTGGGAGAAGGCTGTCCCTCCGTTAATAAAGTGTGGGGAGTCTCAGGGACCGGCGTGCCTCAGAAACTCGGCGCTGGCCCTTTCCTCCCTGTCCAGGTCGTTGCCGCTTCAGGAGATCATCCACAGGATGGGCGGCTTGCCGGTGCTGGTGAACTGGCTGTCGTCGGACGACATGGCCTGCAGGGAACGCTGCTGTGTCTGCCTTGCCAACATGTCCACGACGGGCAACCTCCAGCGCTTGCTGGACATCGACAGGGCTGGAGGCGTTTCGGCCCTCGTGAACGTGGTGCAGACCGGCAATGCCGTCTGCAGGGAGCAGGCCTTTCGGGTGCTTGCGTGCATGAGCTCGCAGAGGCCTCTCCAGGAGGTGCTATTCATGCGGGGCGTCGTCGGGCCGTCGCTGAGTGTACTGGCCAACGTGTACAATTCGCACAAGTGCATGCTGTACGCGACGTACACCTTGGCGAATCTGTGCTGGGTGAGGGAGTGCGTGGAGGAGGTGAGGGAGGAGAATGGGGAGGAGGCCCTCAGGCGGATCGCCAGTTCCAGGCACCGGGCAGCCTCGAGAAACGCCATGGTGGTCTTGAATAAATTGTCGACATTGAATCGTAGCTATTGATTGAGGCACTCGTTGTTGGGGATGTTTCGATATAGGTAGGAGTAGTTAAGGAACCATCGCTTAGGACAGGCCCGAAGTCATCAAGTTGTCAAACAATATAGTAATGCGATCCTTGTGCGTCTGTGCATGCTCCAGACATCTTACAAGGGGTGCCTTGCAGCTATCGTCGTGATTGTCGAAACCCACAAATCAAGCTCTTGTCTGAGTCAGCCAACAAAGAGATTTCGCAGGCTGCATGGGCGAGGTAGCCACAGGCTTCCCAATGTACGCCCCAAGGTGTGCTTTTATTGTATGGGACAGCAAGTAAGACAAGATTCACAACCGATCACGGATTTTGTTCACTACCGCATGTACGCAGAGATCGTTGTGTTAAAATGAGCTGGCCTTCTTGGGCCAGCCAACGGAACGAAACAGCTCAGTCGTCGACGACACCCTCGCGACAGGCGGCACCATAGTCCAGGACATGGGCGAAAGCAAACTTTGAGTCACCGCATCTCCCAACACAATGGGTTGCGCTTAAACGCCAGTGTCTCAAAGGATGAAGCCAGTGTCCAGGATCTTGCGTGCAACGCCGCAGTATGCACCTTCATCACGTCTGCCAGTTATGGCGCCGTACTTTTTGGGACCTTCGAGCAGCAGCCAGGCAGTGAATGCACCCATGGGGCTTCAATCAAGTAATAGAGCTTGCCAGGAAACATACAGCAAAGGCTCCACTCTCGCGCTTGAACGCTTTAGATGCTATTGTGGCCCTTGGGAATGCCCAAAGGCTCAGGCCATCATGAACTCTATGCACCAGGTTTTCACTCGACTGCCCGTATGGAAAACAAGCAATTGCCCTTCATCAAACTCTCAACGGTGATGGAAGCTATTCCCAGGAGCACAGCTCCAAAGCTCTGTGTCTCAGATTCCTTGAGAAGGATCTCTGCATGACTCATGCCCCAGAAATATGACAGCATTCCCTGTCTATTCTCTGGTTACAGTTTCAGTTGTACATTGATAATGCAACCAAACCCTTTGTTCGCCGATCCCCTCAAATCTGATGACCGGCTCCTGTCGAGATTCAAGTCATGCCCCACGTCCCAGTTTCCTTTCGCAGACAAACCACAGCAGTCCTAATCTCCTGGAATACATGGCAGTGTGTTCCCGGTTGCGGCATTTCTGATCAAAACCGTCTCTGCCATCTCCTTCGCTTGTCTTTCAACAATCGACAGAACTGCCCTGGAGCAGATCTGGGAAATGCCTGTGCATTTCCGCATTTCATATTCCCTCATGCTACTTCTGAATGCACTGCACCGTCTCTCATGCGACTGCCTTGGCGGCATACTCGATTTATCCCCTTACACTGTAACTTGTCCAGACCCCACCCCTCCATGTTGCAAAAACACCAGCGTCATCGTGTGCAAAAATCCGTTCTCGTGCCAAGGCATAAACGAAGTTCGCAAAAGCAATCACTGTGCGGTAGCTCCAACAGTACGAAACCGGAAAGCATCGTCAACGTTCTAGCCAACGCTGCAAAAATATTACCCAGAAATTTCGCGTGTCTCAAGCGTATTTATTGCAAACAAGGCAAGGAAAGAAGCTGCTAGGAATTGCAACGCCATTCAATATTGGGGCTCGCACTCAAATTTCAAGAAGGCTGCTGGAGTCCATCGGCGCGAGTGCACGCGCATATCCCAAACAATCAGAAGCTTAACCACGCGCAGCGTCCCCACTAAAGAATCACCATTGTCAAGAAGAGGAGGACAACGTGCGGAATGGGGAGTCGTGCCATTCATACCCAGGAAGCTCATTATTTCAGGAAACACCGCGAGAGACTTCACATCAATTCTCAATATTTGCGTGTCTGCAGACCATTTTGGAGGCATTCGCAGTCCACTTCGTCAGTCGTATTGTCCCTGAAAATTTCTTGGTCTTTACGGCGCAGACGCTGAGCATTTATGTGTACTTACGCGTAAAAATAGTACTTACGATTTTAAGCACAAATACGAGGAAAAACACGTAGATTTGACCTTGTGTACATACAGACAACACACGCCGACTCACATAGTCCGGGGAGGGGTAGCTAGACGCGCTGGAGTGGGCAGAAAATAAGTTTTTGTTCTACCACGTCTTCGCTCTTGCCTAGAGCAAGGCTGGCGCTGTGTTGCGGGTGCTCGAGAGGTTGAATGACTGATCATTAGTTGCGACATATCATGTCACTTGTGTCTCCCGACGAGCCGCAACATGCGTAAATACAGTCGCAAAAATATTCCCTTCTGCAATTTACGTCTTTGGGGGTAAAAACGTAAACGTAGAATCGTAAAGCCCAAGTATGCCTAAACCAATAAAGAAATGAAAGCCAAAAACTAGAGTTCAAAACTATCAGCGCGTTGCAGCCATCGAAACACAAGCTGGCAACACCCTAAGTGCTCCTTCGGTAATTGGACCGCAGATGCCCAAGACGGGCTGTGCGCATGCACGAACAGGCTGAAAATGCAAAAAGGGCATTCGCTGAACCTTTATCAGAATTTCCCTTGGACTACTCGATTGATATTGTTAATGCAAATGCTATTGTCAAGGATGCGTACTTCAATTTTGCGTGTGCAGAGCACATTCTCAGCGGGAGTGGGTTCCAAATTCCAGGACCCGAACTGGCGGGAGCGACTTGTTCGACAATAAAATGCTGAATTGCAAGTCCACACTGCACGCTAAGTCAGGCAAGTTGCAAGTCAGACTTTCTGTCTTCAATCGAGGCGCCGTCTCTGCAACGAGCGAACCAAAGCACCCCTTGCCGTTGGAGCCCACAGCTGTGGGATCCTGCAGGATGCAGCGTAAACTTGTAGCTCATCGATAGTTCTTGCAACGATAGACGATCCATGGCACACTTGACCCATGCAGTGCTCAACGTCTGTTACAACTCCCATACCCTGGACGACGGTAGGATGTGGGAGCCGCATGCTGGACAGACATATATGGAGTGTGGCCGTATCCTGGATATGGAGGCCCATAGCCTGTGATGTGGCAGGGCTATGGGCGGGGATATGGCCATAACGGCGCTCACTGAATGTTGTACTGTGTAGATGCAATCGGCACCTGATCTTCAACGGGGCACAAGCTTGTGATCGCTTCAGAGGCTTCTGATCTTCAGATCGCAACGGGTGTCCAAACACATGTCCCCACATATTTTAGACGTTTTGCATTTACTCCGTTGATGTTGCGATTTGCGGTTGAGAGGATTGAATGCAAGCGTTTCGCAAAAAAATACTTGAAATAGAACTAGTGAAATACATTTCGAAACAATTTTTGCCAAGCATTTCCCTGCAGCCGCCAAGGGCACCCTTCTCTCGTATGCACACCGATATTGTTTTTGGCGAATGAGCTGACGACATCATCATGGACGAAATCACAAATTCTGCTAGGAAATTCAAGCATTGACGGAACGCCTTATAGGTCCTTTTGTCAAAATACTTCGATCCAATCCGCATCAGATCTAATCTAGATGGGAACTATCCTGCATTGTTTGACAGATTCTTTCGTCGATCAAAGAACACTCTGAATGGGAAATTGGAAGATTCACGCCCATTTGAAGGATAACCGTTAAAGCTTTGGCCTCGCTCATGTCTCCGCTGGTCACAGTACCGGTCCCATGAATGGCGCACCTGGATCCAGATGCGGTTGCAGGGCCCAGAAAAGCGGTCGGAGCCTGGCAGTCGGCCACAAAGAAGCCCTGATGTGGTACCACACCACTTGTAGTACCTGCTATTGTATTTCATTGTTTCCACCCATTCTCAATGATGATCTGGTCGTCAGTCGTTACTGAGACGAGGGTGGACAAGTCCGAATTTGGACTTGTCCACCCTTGTCTCATGTAGCGCGATTGGATTCCAATCCTAAAATTCGGTTGCCACCAGGTCCTTGCGCCAAGCTCTGATGCATCATCATCGGATGGCTCTGTGCGCTAACGATCACACCGTCGCGTCTTCGTCGGCACACTAATGCGCGGAAAGCTGTCTTCCGCGGAAACCTGCGTTTAACCACAAGTCCCTTCGGCGCAGTGCGCCACTGAGCAACCGCCCCTTGCGCAGATGCTCTGATCGCGGACGCCGACAAGCGCCACAACAGGACGACGCGCCTCCTCCTTTCGCGCCAGGATCCCGGGTGTGATGCAGTGCGCCGGCCTCATCTAGGATTAGCGCCCCCGGGTGAGCCAAATCTTGCATCGTCTTTCGGGCATCGGAGTTGCGCTCAGCGTTCCGAGGCGAGAATCGTGCCCCCGTCTTCAAAGACCGAATTGGACGCGGGAGTCATGCCTTTCGGTTGTCGCCAAGAAGGCAGTGGGTCGCCATGCTCGACTATCGTGCGCCGGTGGGCATGTTGGAACGTATGTGCTGGGATCCACGCCAGTCTGTCACAAGTTGACGAATGGGAAGGAGTTGCGATTGTCGAAGGCGAGGGCAGCTGGTGTTCTGCACGCTTGGGATCCATGAGCACCAGCGTTCGCAGCAAGCGATCGTGGTCGCAAACCGACGCACGGGGGATGAGGAGAGGGGCAGGACCGAATCTTTGGTGAGTAAACGCGCAGTGGACACGCCGCAGCGCTCTCATGTTTGCACGAACGATGCCGCCTCCGCCCATTTCCAACCCGAGGATTCAATGTGCTCCAGCACCGGCCAGTGTGTGGAGTGGTACGCAAAGGTCGAAGCGCAATCGTGGACGCTGCCATGTTGGTACAGACTGTGTAGGTTGTGCGATGGATGCCCTGCGCCACAGGAACACGGACGGGATGACCGGATGCATGGAGGCGAGCTCGTGCGAAGATTGCGCGGCTGGCCTCAATCATTGCTTCCATGCTGTGCTGTCGATTCGCTGTGCTGCTTGTCTGCATTAGCGAGCGGCGTTGGTGCTGTGTTCTAAAACGGGGACCTACGTGAGGTTGCTCACTGAGCCTTGCTGGTGCCGCAGCGGAAGCCGCCGGAAGTGGTCCATTGCCCTCCCAGCTGCTGGCTGAATCGGCAGCAGCGTCCGACTGCTTGCGTGCAGCAGCCATGCGTTAGGAGGGGGCTTGGCGCCTGAAATCGGGGCAGCTGCAATCGCATGGTGGATGTCCAGCCGCGCAAGCACGTCCGCCGCAGGCAGCAATCGTCCCCGGTTTGGTGTTTGGTTGGACGCATTCGTTGGTCCATGGGGCAGGCGCACAGCCGCAGAAGGTGGTTTGAGGGCCCCTCATCGCTGTCCCGCAATGTGTGCAAACGCAGGCAAGGGAGATCGCTGCTAGTTGGCCTGCCCTGCCGCGGGACGATTTCCCCTGAGGTCCGGTCTGAACATGGACAGGGGCGACGATGGATGCAGCAGGGTGGTGATGTCTAAGATGTCACGTCAGCGTGGACTGCATGCATGGGGCGGCCAGGAACTGGACACGACCACTGGATTGGCGCATTGATGTGAACCATTGGCTCCCAGGGTTCCAGGGCGGGCGCAGATTCATTGGGATCCTAAAGACCCATCACGCTGGGGGCTGCCATGGGGCCCACCCGCGCTCGTCAGGTCTTTTCGCTGGGCACGAGGTCGCCAATTTGTCACTGCGAGCGGCCCGGTGAAGGCGACTCTGGCATACAGAGCCTGAAAGCACAAAGAGCGCAGCGGAGCAGCCTGTCAGCGCGCGGCGGTCTCCGCTGCGGCGTCGCTCTTGGGTGCACAGGACTGCGGACGGACGGTTGACGGGAATGGCACACTCGGACGAGGACGGCGGAAGCTACCTGAAAGAGGGGAAGGAAGACAGGGCGCCATCGCAGAGCGACATCGCGGCGCCCCTGTGTGGCATCTCATCTTTCGGCGCCTTCGCGAATGCCGTTCCACCAGCCATCGGAGGGGACGATTGTGACGATGAGACGCCCATCATCAAGAGGCAGCGCACCGACGCGAACAACTCGTGCGATGGACACAGTGCGAAGAGGAGAAGGCTGGGCGGCGACTCCGAGGTACAATTGGGTTGTTGATCTAGCGGAAGTCGAGATGGGCGGCAGCCCGTTCTTGTTTGGCGTTAGTGGGCAGCCTGCAGGGTGGTCATCGGGGCCATTGGCGGCATCGAGGCTGTTTCCAGCGCCTGAACAGCAAAACTTGCGCGTTGTGATGGCTGCACGGCTACATGTTGCGGCGCGGCGACGGTGGGGAATAATCTTGGTGTCACCACAATTCTGGACTGGAGCACGCGTCACGACCATTCCGCTGGCCTGCGTGCCCTCTCACAGATTGCGTGCGTGTTCGCGTGAAGTATTGGCTATCAATGTGCGCCCGCGGCGGTTTGGCCACCCCTGTCCTGGTCCAAGGCCGTCGATGCAGAAAGGGCGGGCTGTCGTTTCGTTCGCCTTGGGCTGCTTTGCAGCAGCTGTGCCGCGATCGTGCGCTTCTCTCGTTTGCTCTGCGTGAAATGTGGCTAGTTGGTCTGGCCATTATACTTTTGTAGGCGTGCCCTGACTGGCCCACCGTTGCGCTCTCTGGGATCCTGGTCTCCACGTTGCGGGTGCAGGCAGCCACAATTGCCTGTTGTTTGCTGATGCGCACGTTTGTTTGCAGAACGCCCTTGGCATGGACAGCGATCTGCTTGCTTTCGATCTTGGGCTTCCTGGCTGCATCGGTTCACAGGGATTCGGCAGCGACGGCGTCGATGTGCCGATTCTTCTCCACCCCCACATCTCAGAGCTCCAAAATCGTTTCTTCGACGATGGCGACGCCGATGACAGTAGAGTCCTCCACGTGCAGCCGCCCACGGTCAATGCCATTCGAATGAGAGCTAAAGACGGGGAGCACACCCAAACAGGGGTATTTGTGGATGCCCACAGCTACGGAATGCCCGACGGTGTTCATGGTGTGTTGTTGGGGAACAGCATGAACGACAGGAAGGAGAGCGACCGGCAGAACCTTTGTGCAGGTGACGGTATTGATGGGCAGGGGGTGCCCATCAGGGTCGCCCCATCTTGTGCATGGCTCAACAACAACTTGGACAAAGAGAAGAGGCCCTTTGCGGCGAAACACGTGCCTGTGAGCTACCCGTCTACCGCCTCCTTGAATGCACCACCGGCTGTCGAGTCTGCACCGCCATCCACCCCAGACACACCAGACATGAACAATGACAGCCATGTCACGATGCCTGGCCTCCTCCTGGAGGCATGCAAGCCCTTCCGGATGATTGGGACTTTGGGCGCTGGACTTGTGCGCAAGGATGCGGACTCTGACTTGGATGACAGAGTCTTGGTGCCTGTTGACAGGGACCCAGCTCGCACAAATGGTGCCATGGCCTTGCCTGTCTGCTCCAGCTCGTGCACAGAGAACGTTGCTGGCAGATCAGATGGGGCAGGGCTGCGCGAGCGGTGCATTGTGAACGTAAAGACGATCCCACTTTTGGTGGGCTTGGAAGAGGAGCCAAACCCCGCTGGTGCTGGGAAGGACGTCCCTTTGAGGGTTGGTTTTGGGGTGTCCCAGACAGATGGCGTGAAGTCCATTGGGGTGTGGAGCTGCCCTGCCAGGAGAAAAACCCATAACAGTGCACGAAAGAAGGGCCAGTCGTCTGAGACCATCAGCTCAGAGGTGCCTCCGTTGTCCGGTACGATTTCCAACCAGTTGGATGGTGAAGCTATCTGTGGAGACCAGTCGATGATGCAAGGCGGAACAACCACAGGCAATGCAGAAGTAATCAACACGACCAAGGTGACTGAGGAATTGGCGACAAGCTTGATACAGATGGACACAGCATTGAATGCTGCAATCAGGAACCAGGATGCCTACCGGGTGTTGTTGATTCTGGACCGTTTGGCCAGTCTGCCTCTCGATTTTGTTCATCTCATGGGGTCTGGCATCGGCCAGACTGTGACAGCACTGCGCAGCTATCCTCACCCTGAGGTCACCCAGGTTGCAAACTTGATGGTTAAGCGATGGCGTTGGATAGTCCAGCAACACTGGCAGCAAGCCACAGCTTGTGACAATGGAGCAGGTCGGGAGCTACAGTGTTCCGGGGAGAGACTAGACAAGCATGCGGCTGTTAGGGGTATTGCGATGCGTTTGGAGTCCCTGCTGGATGACCTTAACGCTGACAGCCAATTCTAGATGCGATCTGGGGTGAAACAGGGAGTCTAGCTGTTTGATCGAATCAGACTTGGGGCTGGATGGCGTGGGGAACCTTGCACTGCGAAAACGGACAGGTTGTGGCACCGGACTGGTCAATGTTACCGGCAACACATAGCATGCAATAATGTCCCCAACCTGTGATTTATTGTGTGTAGTGCTTTGTAATTAGCATTATTGCTGTGGAGCAGCGGTCCCTACTGAATGCCATTTGGCTGCAGAACTTTTTCAGTTTTCGGGGTCCACGCCGCTTCCTGCAACAGCAGTGTGGACACACCAGGTTGATATTTCTATGGGGGGCACCTGGCCAGGTTACGACATCTCGCAGTCACCTCAAGGTGACGTGCACATCACTGCCACCTCTGCAGACGATGCTGCGATGCTGCTGTCACGCAACACACCTGGTGCGCAAACCCTCACGAGTGCTCCACAAGTGATCACATATTTAAATGCATGAAATCACCACAATCTCGCAGAAACCAATTGTCCCTTGCATTGCAATTGAAGAATGCAGGGGTTGTCTTGAGAAAACATTGATGCAGGGGCCCCTTCACCCTAACTATGGTGTCGGTTTCCAAGCCCCAGCCTATGCCGCCCTCCCCCCCAACCTACCACCGCGGCTATTACCCCAGCTGGCTGAGTGACACCACCCTGTCGGGAAGCAGTCAACGTGGTCGACCAAAGCAGGGAACCCCAGGTTTCACGCGCCCCTGCCTCACCAACTCTCACCAAACATTTTCTGCATCACACATTCGCACAACTCCATCCCTAGACGCACAAACACAACTCGTACCCAACGCAGCCTCCACTACACGTGGGTGCCCGCTGGCAGCACCTTGTTCCGCACAGCCCGCCAGTCGTCATAGTCTCCAGGCTTGAATGCCAGGGAGCTGCACTGCACCGTCTTCTTGGCCCACACCTGGGACACCTCTTGCTCGTACAGACCCTTCACCAGGGACGGCGCGTCGATGTCCAAGTGGCGCACCTGAAAGGCATCGCCAAAACACCAAGTTATGGAGCGGTAAGGGGCGGCAACCATGATGCCCGTGAGCGACGACCACATGAAGTACTGGCGGACCCGCGCTGATGTCAACGATCGCCAAAGGGAAAAGATTGTCACGCAGCGGGCACACCCTACGAAGACTGGAGCTTGCACCACTGCAACAAGTACAAGTCCGCGGGCAAATATTAGCAGAAGCCTACGCGCGCAAAATAACTGTGCGCCACGGAGTTGTGACGAAGAGATCCGACGTTCAGGTTGCGGGCACGATACAACTGCTGGGGCCCGCCTTTGACCGCACCGCTGTATTGTTGGTGCAGGATCGCCAGGCCGCCTTGAAAGCGTCATTCTCCTTCATTTTCACGCCTTTCTGCTGAACGAGATACCCCATAATGACGTCCTCCCACTGGAAGCGCTGCAGAGTAACAAACCAAATATCAGCGCCTTTTCCTCAATGGAATCCGGCTACACACACCAATGCAAGCCTTAGAGGTGCTTCCATTGGCAGCAATATCAACAATAGTAAGGAGAGAAACAGCCCACGAGAGATGATGAGTATGCAGGGTTTTGGAGACACAAATCTGCGGCTGGCAAAACAAACGCCCGCAGATGCGCCAAGCACAGGAATTGGGAGCGAGTTGCTCCCCTTTGGCGGAGCGTCAAATAGCATTGACCAGAACGAAAGGCAACGCGCAAAAATCTGCGAGAATGCACACTGCCTCCATCGCCATATTGATACATGGGTGTGATTGGTACAATTTGACAAACGTGTGCAAGAACACTGCACACACCGAAAACCAGGGGGGGGCTTCTTCAGGGTGTGCTCGAAAGGAGAGCCATTTCCACACGACGTAGAGCATGACATCTCGGGACATGACGTAGCCCCAGCCTGCCAGGTACCTTTGAAAACACAGGAATGCAACAGTGAGCTACATTGCACCCATGGCCACATCCGAACGTGACGATTGCCGTCACAAACAGGCATACCAAGCTTCCAGCAAATTAGTCGTTTGGACACATGGAGTACATGAAAGTTCTATCTGAAAGGCGCACAAGGCTTTCTCTTGTAAGCAATCCACACTGGTATTGCCACATTTCACATCTCGCAAGCTCTTGTGTCTATTTGCAACCTCAAGGCGCGCCAATAACATCTGTGCACGAGACACTGCAATGACAACATCGGCATGGAAATACCGAGGCAATCGCCGATCGCAGCAAGACATTCAACGTGGTCTTGTTGCGTATTTGCATCGTCCTGTTGGTCCAATCGGAAGCACCAACATTTGAGATGCCAAAAAGAATACGCAAGGCTACATCACTCAAAATCCTGTACGATGGCAAATTCCATGGCAAACTATCAACAGCTGCAAGCAGGGGTCAACTCAACCCTTTCAGCACCAGTTGCACAGAGCCATATCGCTGAACAGACAACAGCGAACACTAATCGCAGCACACAATCAAATACTTTTAGGCAACAATGCAGCTCAGGCTTCCTGCAACACAGCAGAGTGAAGGTAAAAGGGGGGTGGGGGGCCCGCGTAAGGGGCAGTCCCAGAGTGCAAATCAGGGATTGTGCGTGCAGGACAGTACTTCGAGCGTATCTCACTTGAGCCCATCCAGCTGTTTCTCAACGTGGTCTGGGAATTCCTCATATGACATGAACCACCTGCCCACAGATTCCACAGCCTCAGAATAGACAAAACTCTGCCACATCCAAGGGGCAGGACGGTGAGCTGGAAGAACACGGCAACGACAATTTCCACGATTGCTAACAGCAAAACTGAAGGCAGATTAGGGGACATGTCATTGTTGCAAACTGCCTTCACTCACTTGCTTTTCGGATCTCTGATGAATTTGAAACCGATGGAGCTCTCCTGACACCCCGTGTACAAGTTCTCTGTAATTACTTTGCCGTCTCCTCCCTTTATGGCCTCAAGCAGCAGAGGCATTCGGACATAGCAGTCGTCATCTGTCTTGAGAACGTGCGTGTATTGCCGGGGGCTGCTGGAAGCATACTTGAACAATCCAAAAACCTTGAACTTCAAGTTGCCATATGTATCCAGCCCCCTCACAAATATCATGTCATCATGGTGAGCGAGTTCTTCCTCCAGAGACTTCAAGACTTTGTCATATCTATCTGTCAAACTTGAAAACAACGTCTAAGCCCACTGCTCAACTCTGAGAATCATGCAGCAAACACAACAATTCCACACTGCAAAAGCGGGCTTCAAGCTTACGAAACATGGTATCGCTATATCTGTGCTCTTACCCACCACCAGAGGTGAAGATTTGAACACCAGCAAACTACAGGGAAAATCCTGAATGAGGGGCTTCAACAGGCACAGTCCAAGGGTTGGCAATTCACTGAGCTTGTCTCCATCAGCCAACCTAAATGCTGTTCTTGCCAGGCAGCGCAAATTAACACTTGGGTCACAACTGGCCCCAAAAAACTCGCGACAAAGCATGCTGCAAATGGAACACAGTTTCAGCTGCTTGCATTGATCCCAGGACCACACACCAACATATAACTCAGTAATGTTTTGGCTGTGTTGACGACAGAGTACATGGTGTTGCACACAGCATGGGGGATGGGCCAAAGAGAGCGTATAGCGTCCTATGTTGAACATCCAACCATTGACACAGCCACACTTCTCTGGAGACCAGAGAAGAAACGCGAGCTTTTCTCAGAGGAATACACTTTGCTCAGTGCACACTGATGCAAAGTTGATCACACCTCCAAGCTCATTTATAACTTCCTGCAAATGGTGCAGGCAGCAGTTTTCTTCTCTCCCATTTGTTGGTTGATGCCTGCCACAAAAAACAGGGGATATTCATTGACATGCTCACCATGCCCTGGTTGGCTCAGCACAAACTTGATATCTACTCCTGGGTGCTCGCTTTCAATTTTCTGCTTCCAGCTTTCTCTTATGGCGTTGCGTTTTTCCACGGCCTGCAAGGCAAGAGTTACACAGCCTCATGAGAATTGCAGTCAACATCACTGACAGTCATGCATTTTACACTGAAATAGGCAAACGAACACCAGCTGTCCGATCAATGTCAGCAGCATGCTGCCCTCTGAGTGACCCACAGACACAACAAACTGAGTAGAATGACATCCCCTTCATCAGCACAAGCTGGAATGACCGTACTTTGTCAGCAAAGCGAATTTGGAAAGGCCAACGACCCGTTCTTCCATAAGTAGAGCAAAAGCAAAGACCAGACAAAATGCAAATTTACAAGTTTCTGCACTCACCAGGTCGCTGCAACAGTCGCTGGTAATCCCAATGAACATTCGCACTTCATTGTCTGTAATATCGCCAGACCTGTGATCACACAAAGGGTTGAGCAACGAACTTCGATTGCCCCCATTCATGGTTCATTGGGTATGAAATTCTGCATCATCTGCTGGAGTTCTGTCTGCATAGTGTGGGTGCACTTGGCATGCACCTGCACCTGAGCAATATGCACGTACCATTGGTTGCATCCTAAACTTGCAGATTGTGTACATGGCGCAAATTGATTCCATCCTGACAATTCCAGGGGGCACAATCGACCCAGCCCTGCGTGAGCACAAGGGTTGTAGTGCAACACAGGGCACCAACAAGAACTTGCCCTCAACAAGCCAGAAGATACAGGAGGGAGAGGGGTTGGGAAGAGAACTCGTGCACATTTACAGCACCAGTGATATTAAGCAACATGGCATAGTATTGCATATGCACAATCAACACTTCTCTTGCAGGTTGTTGTCTGTGAACCTTCAAGAGAGATGGGAACATGTCATATAAATCAGCCTCCCATACCACACTTTGGCAAATCTGCCCTGTGCTGGGAAATAATGCACAGGTCTCCAAGGGTAACAGGCACAACACACAGCAAACAGGCAGCGCACTGATCAAACAGTTTAACAATTGCTGACTGTTGAACAGCAGAAACAATTCTCTGATGTGCATCTATCATTCGCTAATACTTACTCATTCAGATCATCAGGCTCCCGGATAGGCAGAAGCATGGATGCGTTTGTTGCATCCATCGAGGAGTCACCACTGGAGGCCTTTTTGTGGTATGCAATCTCGTCTGGAGCGATGGGCAGGTCCACCTTCAGTGCATCGCGGAGATGCACATAATGACCTGCATGCAGAAAGCAACACAACACCCTTGTAGCCAAAACCGCTGCCAGAAAAGCAACTGTGAACAAGGCAATTACAATCCATTGTGGCTTTCAAACGTTGCTGAAGGATAGCCAGCAGTTGGAAAGTTATACTTTTGGTCTTCGTTCCTCCTTTCATCTGTGGGAGGCTGCAAAGAGGATGTTCTATCATCTATGCTGCCAAGCACCCCTCAATTGACAAAAAGAGGTCATAATCGGGAAAATTGGCTCCCAAAACCCTCACATGACAATTTCCAAGATTAAAAAATGAGACCCGGCCCCTTTGAGCATTGGGCAAAAGGTCAATTTTCGCCATTTCTGAGCGAAAACTCGAGTCTGCTAGGTATAACACTCTTACTACAAACTGATTCCAAATCCTCATTTCTTAACAGATTGGCTTGGTTTTTGGACAGCATACTCCGATCTCATAAGCACAGCCATGGGCGAAATTTCATTAAGGAATAAAATTCTCACTTTGAATGGCCGTTTTTGCACGATCGTCAAAAAATGAGTGGTTGTCTGTGGGAGCACTCTTGCTACAAAGTGATGCCAATTCCGCAATTCTCAACAGACTGGCTTGAATTTCTGAACACATATTCCAAATTCATAAGCACAGCTGTGGACGAAGTTCGTTACAAGATGAGTTGTTTCTGATGGAGAAGTAATGTGCCAAAGTCACATAAGACATTTAATATGGGACTGAGAAAGTATATGGAATACATACAAACAAATAATCTCTGCAGTGCCAACGTGGCAATGGATATGCCAATGCCGATCCCAACCATGAAGTCATTGTTGGATGCTGGGCAACAATTAGTGCATTTGCAGCTGCTTGCTGACGGCGCCATGTTGGTATATTACGTCACTTTGGGACATTCTGCCTGCAATCTTCCTCACCTGCCACAACAAATTCAACCTGGTGTTGTGCTGACAATTTCGCCCCACCAAACACCTTCTGTACCTGGAAGTAAGTGAACAAGCACGTTTTCAACTGGACAGCTGGCTAAAATTCGAGTCTCAAAGCTCTGCATGAATGTGCAGCCCCAGACAAGCAGAGAGTGGGCTGGCTACATGCCAACCACCAAAGCAGATTGCTCAGGCTGACAGCAAGTCGCTGACAGAGGTCAATATTGGTAGAAAACAAACACAACAAGAGCCAACGGTTCGAAGTTGAAATCCAGGCCCACAGCCAGCCAACCAGGTGTTGTATGGCTTATTGACTACTGGCACTGGCTCTTGCGCACTGACCTGCAGCAAGTCACTACTGGTGTGCGCATCACTGCGGACCACTGCTTGGCCACAAACCACTCTCTTGTCCGCAGACCTGTAGTTGCTCATCACCATCATGAGGCAGCCCATTAGAAAGAAAACAATGGAGAGGATGTTGTGTGCATGGAGCCGCCGACGTTCCCTGCCATTGGGGAAGGCAGGCATCCTACGCGTTGTGGTTTTTCCATCGTAGAGTGCTCGTCCACCAAGACCTGTTGTTCCTATATTGCACACAAACCAAATGCAGCAAAATGAGCGCAGTGCTAGGCTGAATCGAACCCCATAGGCATTCTGTCTGGCTGGCGCATGGCATCCACTCTAAAAGCGTCTGCGACCCAAAGGTGGAAAGAACAACATAACATCTATGTCTGGTGGAAAACAGTGATAGGTGACGAGGCACAGCGTGCAAAAGCAAAACAGAAAACGGATGCCCCAACACCACTGTTCGCCCTTGCGTAGAGGCTGCACTCAACCATCTTTTCGATGTTAGTGGCATGGAGTCTATCTCTGGGTCGTGTACAAACGCCAATGCTATTAGCAACACATGTGACAGTGGTGATCACTGCAGCCGCTTCACAGGGTAGCAACGGCTGTTGGCCGGAAGGGTTCTAAACGCGGCCTTCAGCCAGAGCCTCATCTGCGCGCCTCCCACGGAGAGGGAAGGGGTGGCGTGTGCGTGTGGTGCAAGAGCAAGGCAAACAGAGTGCACAGACCCCAATAAGCCCGTCCAACATTGAAACGCAGTGGCAACGCTCTTGGCTACGAGGTGTGGACTCACGGCAAAAACAGGACTCCCTTCCCCTTGAGGACCACGAACCGCCAAGGAAAGTTTTGGTGCGCAGGATCCGGAACTTCGCACGACGACAGCGTGCGTCAACTCGCGCACGTCTGGCTCGATAACGCCGCGGACACTTCAACAGCATGCTGATTCGGCGCGGTGTGGGAAGGCAAACGATGCAGTTGGCAGGAAACGTGCAACTGCCCCCCTGGCCCTGTGCCCCGCATAGCCGCGCTCCCAGGGCTCGTCATGGCGCGTTTTGTCCCGTTCCAGCCCGATGCTCGACATCCCGCCCTGGGGCTCGCACCCGTTGCGAAGTCCATGGGTCCATGGGCCGCAGACGGCCACTTGTCAGCGCCGACGACGAATCTTAATGCCGTTCTGCAGCACGGGCCACAGGCGTCCTCCCGCCCCCCCCTGGGCACATGTACTTGCGGTGACAACCAACGCGGAGGGCGCGGCAAGGCCACCACCGGGCGGACGCTTCGGAGCGCAGGCAGCGGTCGAGACGACTGGCCACCGCACCGTCGCGCGCCGCGCGAGCAAATGGGACGGGCCGACTGGTGCCCGGCCGAGGACGCTGCGCTGATCGCTGCGCCTTTCAGTCACGCAAGGTCCCTCCAAGTCAGAATTCACAGCCGCTGAAAATGGCTGTACATGATTCAAAATTGCACCCATTGCCGGCATGGACTGTATTGGCAGGGGAGCGGATCCATCGCCCAACACCACTGTGGCCCCCCACCCGCGATCAATCGCACCTGAGCAGCCGTCCAGCGGGGGAAGGCCACCCCCATGCAGATTGTCTTCAGACGCCCCCATGGTCACCGCGTCCTCAGCTGGAGGATCGCCCGTGTTGGCCGCGATCGAGGGCCTGCCCGCTCGCAGCATGGGCCTCCGGCTTGGCGCAACCTGCCGCCTCCAGTCTTGCCCAGCCCCGTTGAATGGGACTTCGTCGTGCCGGTGTGGCGAAGCGCGCTCCCTTCCCGATGTTGCCCCGCGCCCGTCCAGCTACTGATCCTCAATCGCCGCTCCCACCCGGCGATTGAGCGAATTCAAAATCGGTGAGGCCGCATCCGGGACCCCATGCTCAAGACGCCAGTTGCGCGGGCCCAGTGGTGGGCAGCGGCGACGTGTTGAGTTGATTCTCTAATGGAAACAGAGGCCTGCATCGGCCATGCTGTCAGGCAGGGGAGGGATCGGCGAGACGCCTCGGCTTGCCGGGTGGACAACCGGCTGTAAACGGGCCCACATGCCAAACGGGGCAACTTGCCGTACCGCCCTTCTTGGTTGAGTCATCTGTTGGCCGTTCGTTGGTGGCGACGACGCACTTGACGTACCGCTCCCTCCTGCACGGTCACGCGTACGAAGCAGCTTGGGCCTGGCCCTGGGAGATGCTGACCAGCAACCTGAACAGTGTCCGGTCAGGGCACAAGGCACTTGGCTGTGGCCCACAACATGCATGGATGCGTGTGTGTGAATGAACGTGAGGACACCCATAACGGAACAAATCCAGTACAAATATGTGTTCCAAATGGTGCAACCAAAATGACCCTGTAGTGTCACACGTGGCATTTTGTTGTCTGTGCGTATCCTGGGACTGCCCAATGTTTGTCTTACCACAAGACGGCCAGCATGCTGCAGGCCACTTGTGCATCCCTGGTAGTCGAGTGGTCTCAAGCGCATCGATGTCAATGGTCCCATTGCGTGGGATGGTCCGAGTATGCCACCAAGGCAGATGTACAAAGGGGTTCTTAAACGTTTAAATTTAAATGTTTAGTGGGCTAACCCACTGCGGGAGTTCACAAAATTCCTGCGTGTTGATACACTCGTGATCCATGAAACCAAATGTATCGCAAGAAACGCGACTGCATCGATTGCTGGAAGCAAAATTGGGTCACTTGTTTGTGGGTCATGTTCCACATGTAACCCACCATCAATAATATTTGGCGCATTGAGAGACATTAGGCACTGGATGTCATGACAACACTGCCGCATCATTGTTCCACAAGCAGGTTTGATTGTCAGTACCATGCTCCGACGCCAAGAAACCGTGGAGCAATTTTGCAGGGTCTTGACGTTGTGTCAAATCGATGCAGCAGACACCAACAGATGACTCAAGTAAAACAGGAGGTGTGTGGAGCTGAGGTTTCGGGGTGCTGATGCGGCGGGGCGAGAATCGACAATTGGGTGTCCATCACATTCAAAAATGTGAATTGTGCAAGCTGCCAGCGTGTTTTAAAGCGAGTTGACTGTTGCACATGGAAGGGCCCTGTTGGGCTATTTTGTGATAAGGTTTTGAGGTACGTGGGTGGGGACAAGACGCAGCCTCGATGGACTATAAAACGCCTTTTCGCTTATCCGCATGATGACCACCATTTCGCTGGGTGGATCACCTGTGCTTGATGGCTAGCGATTGGTAGGCATTTTGTTGCTGCTTGAGATGAAGCGAAAAGCACGGCTGCGGAAAGTCATTGCTATGAACGTGCAAGGGTTACTCACGCCCGGATGTCGCTATTCCTGGTGCGGCATTGAGTTGGCGGTTTCCCAGCCTGTGCGTAATCCTTTGCTTAAAGATTGGCAGCTTGTGACACAACGAAAAAAGATAATTGATGAAATGTCTTAAAGCCATTCTTTTGAATTGGATTCTGGAATCGTTTGACCTTATTCGTTTCTTAGGTAAGTTCTGATCGCACTCATGTTTGTCTGGGACAACATGAGCTTCATGAAAGAAAGCCATACAATTCAAAGAAAGCTGCCTTGTTCATGGTGTCTTGTCTGCAAGGTGCAAAGGTGTCTTGTGGGAAATTTATGCATATGTCCTTCCTGAAATTTTACAGCATTGTGACCGCCCTTTGTTTCGCTTGCAAGAAATTTCATTATTTGCCTTTTGCAGTGTGGGAGTTTGGAGGTGACCATATGATTATGGCATGTTTCACACGTTGGATGCACATTCGTGATGAGGTGGTATGTGGCTGCATTGCTGTATTGGCGTTTGTGATTGATGACGGTCCTTGGGCGTCGAATAGGTGACCGGGTGGCTGTGAAGGGATAATGACAGTCGGTTGATTTGGTGCCACCGTTGGCAAGTTGCGTTTGGATTTGGAACCGGGCAAGCAAATATGCACGCCCGACTTTTACTTGGGTGTGGCAGTGTGCCAGCGCCGTTGAAGCATCGGCGATCGTGGATTCGCGCTTCCTATGTGCACTCAAAAAGGGAGCGGTTTGAATTGCACCAACCGCCATTCCTTCAAGACGTGGCTGTTCGACCAGGCGTAGTGCACCCTTATGAACTGAAGCCCTGGTTTGTAAGACTTGGTGGTCCTCTGTCCGGCTTGATCATGTGTCCAGAGGAAGTGATTCCTTGTAGGCTGTGGCTGCTTCCTTGGTGGCTATCTGACTGCTTGGATGCACTGGGGTAGAATGCGAATCACTGCTGCGGAGTAGGGGCAACGCGACAGCGATAGTCCTGGGGAGTTATCTGCAGGAGCCAAGGTGGTGCTGGATGACGTCTTGCAGAGATTGATCAAGGCACGGATGATCGTTAGCCTGAATGTGTTATGTGCCCATTGCGTCGCCTGCGTGGCAGACGGGTATCCAGATTCGGTGTGTCGACAATATACAAATTTGTATACTTTGATGCTGGGGTGCCGCGGGTGCGGGCTGTGACGGGTTGTGAGAGGTTTAACGTTGGTCGAGGGTGAAGTACTGCGCAGCCCCCTGGTACAGTAGCGTTGGGCCCCAACGTACATGAGCAGAGCTGTGACGAAGCTGAAAACGATAGGATTGCTTCCAATGAATCCAAGAAATTGACCCCTCAGGGAGCCGGGGGCCAACTGAAGGTTTAGCGAAGACAGTTTTCAGCAGTCCTCGCAGGTCTCAAGGGCAGCCTATGAGCTCTTGACACAGCATTTTGCACGCTTACACTTGGGCAACAGACACCATGGATGAAAGGGCGCATATTCAAGCAATGCACCGATGGCCACAGTACACTCACAAATAATGTTAAAAGGAGTCATGATAGTCCCTCATCTTCTCAACTGTGCAACAATGGCAACAGCCCACTGTGCATGTCGCTGCAGCACTTGCACTAATCACCACCTTAGACTGCCTGTTTGCCCACATGCATAGGCACCACAACTCAAATTAAGCTTCTCCCGAGGTATGGCGTTCCGTCTGGGGATGTTGTAGGCACGCCGGTCGGGCGGGGCGAGCTGGACAGCTGCGATTCAGGAATCTGAGTGCCACAAAGAAGAAATATCAACCACTCGTCGCGCCATACAGCGCTTATTTCTTTGCTGTCACGTCACCTCTACGAGCGACCATTGAGTGCATGTGAAGCCAGCTAGGTGTGGTTAATGGTCCATCAATGCAGTCAACTCAGGAAAACCGGGAAAGTGTGCCATTCACCATAACACCAGGGATGTGACTGAAGGGCCACTGTGGCACCTCTCATGGGGAACTGCAATGCTTGCCCTGTCCTTGCCGATTATTGATAGGCACCATGACCAGCATGGAATATCGCAACGATCTGTTTAGTGTCGACCTGCATCGCCTGTTATTGAGGTGCATGGGCAACGCTTGTGGCGTGCCCAATTCAACAGATTTCAGATTCAACACCAGCCCAGGCGCATTGGTCGGTTATTCAGATACAGCAAATGGATATGGAAACCTAGCTTGCAGAGAACGTGCTTGTAAACAAGTGGCAATGGTCTGCACGCTGCAGGACCTCTGCTTACAAGGCAGCTTGCCAAGCATTGTTGGCTCAATGCCACAAATATGCTGTGCATACCCTTCACTGCCGCTCTTCAACATGAGTGATTCAAACCAACATTTCAGCGAAAGCCCATTCCTGAACTACTTACCTTGCCCTGGCCTGACAAAAGATTGTCCTCAAATGATTGAGAGAAGCCCGTTGCAATAATCGTCACGTTCACCTGTTCAGGCGCACAAGTCAGTCACACAACAAGAGCCAAGTGTTCAAACATACAATGCGCGATGGTGTATTGGGGCCAGACAAGAAGGGAGAAATCCACCCCACAGGAAAGCCAATGTGGTAGCCAAGACAGCAGACAGACACAAAATATGAATTGCCTCCCACAAGTGTGTTAGTGAATGCAACAGTGCTCCAGACACCACACATCCACTTTAGAGCAATGCAGACAAACTCACCGTTCCTTCATGCTGCTCATCAACACATGCACCAAATATGACGTTGGCAGAAGGATCTGCAAGGCTGGTGACTATCTCTGACACCTTGTTAACTTCAGCCAGCGTCAAATCCTGCACTTACACAGAGTCAGCACATTGGCCACCAAAGCAGGTAAACAAGCTGTGCTGGGAAGCAATCAGTATTCACATGATTCCAACACCACTGCTGGATCCATTGCGCCCTTGGTCAATTCCAGTGCCAGTGTGAACATGGACAAGTGCTAGTGCTCCTTGTGAAGTCGACAAGTTCTCAATGCACAATAAGGTGTTGACATGGCAGCAGCAACTGGCAAAAGTCATGGTGACCAACTGTCGTGCTGTCTGTGTCACACCATTCCTCCAGTGATGTTGTACACTATTCCAGTTGCACGCTCGATTGACCTCTCTATGAGTGGCGCTGAAGTCGCAGCCTGCAGATGGAAGCAGAAAATACAGCACACAACCTATCAACGCTTAAATCGATCAAGTTGTCAAGGCATTCTAAGCAGCAAAACAGGAATTGACATGGATCACGCCCTGCCACAACACACATCTCAGTCACTATTCAAGTATTCCAAGACGACTCCCAACAGGGTTACACGTTCCCAAATGCCATGGAGCAATGAACACAGTGACACTGGGCAAGATTCATGTCATCCTGGCCAACTGCTTGCCAATGGGAGTTGGATTGTGTAACCATTGTACCAGTGCAGCCTCCTCTGCTTTGTCCTTCCCAGTTGCCATACCAACTCCCAGCATGGCAGTTCCTGAGTTGCACATGACGGCTTTAACATCCGCAAAGTCAACGTTAACAAGCCCAGGAATGGTGATGATGTCAGAAATGCCTTGCACCCCCTGAGCAAACAGGAACCATGACAAATGTCAGCACTATAATACTTCAAAATGAAGTCAACAGTTTGCAACTCAGAGAATTTTATATGGTGCACGATTTTGTGCACAAACACTCATTGGCAGAATTGGTGCCTGAGATGAACACTAGCAGACGCTGCATTGGAAGCAGTATTGTTGCGATGATGACTCCAGCTTAGCAAGCGAAAGGACAACAAGGCACCTCCCACTGACCTTCGTATCTTGTGTCATTGTCCAAACAGGAACAACATCTGCCACCACAAATCTTCACAATCTCATACAGTAGCATTGCAGCCGAATATGGGCCCCTCACACCTGTCTCAGGACATCATCAGCCAGCAGAAAGGCTTCTTGCAGTGGGGTAGACTCACCAACAACATCCAGCAGCCTTTGTGGCGCAGAGACACACTGCAGTCAATCTCTCACTGGACACACACAAATCCAGCCCTTGCAAGAAGAAAAGAGTATGCGTTACTTTGCTGCAAAGCCTGCTTGGCAAACATACCTGTCATTTGGAATGACTATCAGAGTGTCAACATTTCTTCGCATGGTCTCCACCCCTTCATGTGCCTACCTTGTGTAAATACACAAGATATCAGCATGGCAGGCCATTAAGCAGACAAAGCTGCAAACCACATGAACTTGAAGATGTGAAGATGCAGGCACACCTGAGTCGATCGCTTTCGCCCTTCAAAGGTGAATGGGTATGTGACCACACCGACAGTCAGGACATCCATATCTTTGGCCAGTCGCGCAACAACAGGTGCAGCCCCAGTCCCTGTCCCACCACCCATGCCAGCAGTAATGAATACCTGCAGACACCACATCAAAGCACCCACTTAACACAATTTGTTGAGCATCGCCACATACGACCTTTAATAACAACTGGCGGGGGAAGCGTACACGGCATCTGCTCTTGACATGAGTGAGCAAGAGACCAGATAGCAATCCCAGTATTGGGTCAGCAGGTCCTGCCTCATGCAATGTCCAGCAAGTGAGACAACAAAAGAAACCTTGAATTTGCCCCTTCCTCCAAGCACAGAGCATAATCTGCTTGGTGTTTTTCATCTGCTTTACAAGTAGCGAACTTTATTACGCCATTACCGCTTGCTCTTCAATGAGCGAATGAACATCATCTGCACAAAGAAAGCAGAATCAAAACCAGGGACAATCGCGTTCAAAGATTCTTGCAGCACTTCCAGTCAAGCACTGTAACTGTGCAGTTTCCAAAAGTTTGCTGCTGTCCACACACTATGCTACTGTTATCATGGCCAGCTGCTCCTTGTAGCAGCCCCCACACACATCTACAGATTCAGGAAACTGACTGGTCGTCGTGTGATCTGACCGGTCATCACAAAGTGGGCAGAGGCACACAGCAAGTTTCAAGAGAGACACAAAGTGGCTTGCTTAGCTGCACATCTACTCAATCCAGTTACAGTATGGGGCTTGAATCCTTGCCAGAAAGGTCAGCACGCCAATTGAATTAGCCGGTCCATCCCACTGTCCATGCATGCGTCTGTTGTGACACACATTTTTTCAACAACATGTCGTGGTTTGGACTATGTTGTCAACATCATGGGAGGTATGCAACCACACTCAAATGGCCAATTCATTTCACTGAAACAGCAGGCAAAGAGCAAAGGCAAACTGTTTGGCTACATCGCTTGTGTGTCTGAAGTTTGACAACAACCCTGCACTGCTGCAGATCTACTGCACACCATGTCAGCTCCTTCCACCATGTTCCGCAAGTCGTGATGGGATTCTTGGGCCGCAGCTTCGCCAATATCTGGGTGCCCACCCGCCCCTGAGCATATGACAGTGACATGTTGCGGTCACAACGCCCATTTGGTTGAAAGGTAACAAAATTTCTGGACAACTACTCCATGAACCAGCAAATGAGCACATGAACACAGTCAACGTATTGCACAGTTGACAGCCTTGCGCTGAAAACGCATAGTGTCTGACACTGTTGTTCTTTTCTCTTGTGGGAGCGCAAACACATCCCACACACGATTCACGCACCCAATCCTCTTGTCATCTCCATTCCAATCTGCAGCTTGTGCTCCGCCAACGAATTTTCGATTGCTTGGGCGTCGGTATTCACAACGTGAAATTCTACACCCTGCAACAACACAATACTCGCCTCACCACAGAAGCATTAGTCCATCCCTATTCCACAAGGAATCCACAAGGTGCCGCTAGAGCTCGGCGTTCCAGCACTCGGAAGTAAAAAGGAAGAACATTTGGTGCCCCGACCGTTTACCACGTGCAGCCCTCCCGCCTCAAAGAAGCAACAGCATTGCAAACGCACTGCGCAAAAGCACAAGTTAGGCACCAAGGGAGCACAATTTCTGTCCGAGCAATCAAAAGCGCAAGAGTTACCTGAAGGCCCTTAGCAACCATCCTATTTACAGCATTTCCTCCGCCACCGCCCACGCCAATCACTTTGATCTTGGCCTCGCCAGGCCACGCGTCCTCAACTTCGTTGTTGCCATTGCTGGGCACGGCGACTCGGCAACGCACGCGTCCGCGACTTGCACCAGGCCGACAAACAACTGAACTGGGCGCCATCACCGCAGGCGCTGTGCTGCCTTGTAGCACGGGGCCCGCCAACGACCGTGGCCTGAATAACTGACAACGAGCGGGCCTCCCGCCGGCATGGCATTGGCCGCGGGGTTCATATCCGGACACGGCGTCCAGGGCCGGGAGTTCGGAAACGGCAAAAGGGACGCCTGAGCGAGACATTCGCGATGAAGGACGACGGCAGGGCCGCCGCGCATCCCTCAGGGTGTCCCCTGCCTCGACACACAAGGCGGGGTTCGGCCGGAGAAATCTGGGTTCCTGAGTGCAGATTCAGCCTGGCAGAATGCGGCAATGTGATGTGGGCTGGAAACCAAATCGTCGAGTGTGTCTGTGTACTGCCATTTGGCTTCTGTCACTCTGCGATTGGGGCCCGCAGGGTTCCCCAGCGCGCCGTGACCTTTGTTGCTCCCGTGGGCCTGCCTTCCGTTCTATTGGGATATATCTGCGAGGATTGTCGACATGAACACAGAAGCAATCAAGGCTACGCTCACGGTGCCTAAGGTCTGCCGGCGTGGTGATCGTCTGCTTTTTGGGGAGGAACAACAAGGAGCAACTGGTTTGACCTGGAGTTCGCCCTCTTGCCCAGCTGTACAGGGACTGCCTGAGGCTTGCCCAATACCTCGGGAGCAAGGTACAGCCTCTCCATCGTGTTTTTAGTTGGTCAAGGTCGGGCGTCCCAATTCGCTGACGCTGGAAGATGTTTGGCAGCAAGGGAATACGGCTGCCCTCGTAAGTGAGATCCAAGCCACATTTCGGAAGAACAAGGGCGAAAAGGATCCAGACAAGGTACGAGGGCGTGCGCAAGGCTGTTCGCTGTTACTTGCACCCGGATGACTGTGTATTGGGTGGTCAGATCAACGCTAAGTAGGCCACTGACTGTCACACATTGTTGTCTATGCTCCCAGATTGAAGCCATGAAGGAAGCGTAAGCTCGGGGACGGGGCTCCGATGGGCCCAGTTGGTGTGCTTGGCTTGTTGCTGCGGTGAATTGCATTCTCGACAGCGTTTCCTTTGTATCGCAGGGCAATACGCGGCTTGATGAACTACACATTTCACGAGGCAACAAGAATGGCCAAGGTGGGCTGCAATGTGGTGGGTTATTGTGTGGAGCTAGACCGGATTGCGGTAAGGCGCTTTGTCAGAAGAACAGTACTGCAAGCCACATATCCGGTTCTCTTGCCTCAGCAATGGACCAAGGGATATCCTCTGTGAAAGCGTGAAGGTTGCCGGAATCACATCCAACACACACAGGACGTGGCCATCGAGTGTTCATGAAACTGAGAACTCATCAAGAGTATGTGTCGTTTGCCATGCTCAAGCTGTTCGAGTGCGTATGGAAGGCTGAAATGACAGTGCCTGTCGCATATGCACTCGCAAAATGGAGCTCTTCTGCTGTGTTTTTCAGTTGGAATCTGTACTTCCAGTCCCTGCCGTAGGTGCCCATTTTTGTCTGCAGGGCACACGTGCGATGTGATGGGAGCCAGCAGAAGTTGATCTGTGGTTATCCTATGCTGGGGCCTTGGTTTACAGGCAGCCCACCCATTTACAAGCAACGAATTCTCAATATCATGGCACAAGGCGTTGCTGGATTTTGTACTTCCAAACCAACATGGAGTTCCTGCAATCCCCATGCATTGGGGCACATGTGGCAACTGTCCAGAAGAAGCCATCACTCCCCACACGTTTGAATGTGGATTCTGCCAGTTATATTATCTTTAAACATTTGAGATGTGCAGAAGTTCGGTGTCTCACTATTGGACTTTTGATTCCGACACAGGACCTTGATGCTGCGCGCAAGGCAGCCTAGCTTCAGCATGGCTTGCCCCATGAACAGAGAGCACCAGAACAAGGAGCCGTGAGGCGAATAGGTGGGAGCAGATTATGAGGACAAGACAATGAGAGGCCAAAAACATATACTAGCAGCACAAGAACTGAAGCGGACGCTGTTTTATGGCACATGTAAGAAAGTTGACACACTGTTGACTGTGCTGTGCCAAGACAGTGTTGGGGACATATTGGTGTGTAACCATGTAATGCCATCGACAATAGGGATAGCAAGATTTTGTTGCTGTCTTTGGGCCCAAGTGCTGACAGCCCAAGAATGATAGCAACATTGCTGCTGGTTGAAGAGTGCGCTACTGGGAGTTGCTGTGTCCATAGTTGTCTGCAGAGAGGCAACCATTGCTAGTGCAATGGTACTATTAGCACAATGAAGCACTGAAACATCAACATAGCATATGCTTAAGCAAGTGCATCAAGCTGCAAGCTTGCATTAAAAGCGCACATTCTACAATGCAACGAAGGTTCTGATAGATACAGAATGGAAGATGACATTGCAAAACGCACATCGGGGGCTAATGAAGCATTCCCAATTCAAATCTCCATTCATGATGTTCCTGGACTAATAGCGGACGTCTGCATAGGCTACTATCCCTAGGCGTAGCCACGTTGTGCCCTTGGCCACAAAGCGCAAAACCCTGCCTAATGCCCAATCAAGGGTTCATGGAGTGGCTCCGTTGGCTTCCGTGCCAATTGACATCACCTCCGTGCCCCAGAACTCATTTCAAAACTTCTCCCTTCTGTTCTGTTGCTCTGTGCTTTGGTGAGGAAGGGCATCTCCTTCGGTTCTGAGCGCACCCTTGGTTTGGCTGTGCAAAGGCAAAGTCAACACACAATGTCTGTCAGTGATTCTTGGGAGACAAGACACCGTACACAATCAGTTGAAGCTGTGCACGGCATGCATTAACACAATGATCCCAGTGGCCCCAGCATACACACACACTGTGGCCCAACAATAGGGCTGGCCCAAGGTCGACTAGCCATTCTGACGAAAACCATTCATCAAGGGAAATGTGCATCTCACAAACCTGTTTCAAATTTATCGCCATCATCGATGATGCAGCACATCTACTTCCACAATCTGCTTCCCCTTACCTCTGTGGTGCCAGCATGCAGTCAACTTACACAGACTGCTGATGAGCACATCCAGCTTTAATAGCTGGCCATCATATTTGACTATTCAAGCAGAGAGGTCAGGACAAGAGGCCTGGGGACCAGTGTGGCTCAGGACCTTGTTTCCACACGTGCTTCCGCCATCAACACACCGGCACACTCTGCTTACTTGCAGAACGTGCACTGTGTGGGCAAAAGCATTCATAGATAAGATCAAGTAATTTTCGGTCATCCTTGCCCGACATGGAAACCCCCATCAGCCCAGCATTTCAAATTGCACGACTGTGGACATGAGCATCCGTGCCAGCATAAGATTGCTGACTTGTGTACTTCAGCATCTCACCTCCTGAGTTTTACATATAGTTTGGCGTGTGAGATTGTTCATTTGGTGGGCTGCTGATGTCTGCGGTTGGGACCACCACGTCGACCAGGACTGCAGGACCGAGTGAGAGAACAGTCAGTCACAAATACAGCAGGTGCTCAATCAAGCCTACCCAGCAGTTCTCCAACCATTTGGGCCCAATCGGCAGCAGTCAGCATACAGTACCTCTGAAAGCAGTCCATGCTTTGCTATCAATTTCTCCACTGCAAATAGCAGTACAGAATTCGTCCCATAAAATAATCAGCACCAACCCTGTGCTACTGTTGCCAGGAAGGGCGGCTGATGCGAGTTGATTGTGTCCATTGCCCAAGGTCAATATTCAGTCAATGCACTGTTTGCCCTAGCCATCAAGCGCTTGGCACTTCATGTAACCAGAAAATTAGCGCTGGCTATCAATGTGGCAGTAGCAACTTTCTTGATGTGCAGCCATCAGACTGGAAATATCAGGCAGGCATGGACGATACCAGGCTTTGTTGCCCGTCGCCCACATGTCTGCACACATTCGCGTTTCTGAGTGGGAAATGACGATTTCCATTTCTGTCCCCTTGGTCATACCCTGCATATTGGGGTCTATTTCTTGGCTGCTCCCAATAGTGGGTGTTTGTGGCTGGGCCTTCTGGGGTGCCCCGCTGTTGTTTCCCTTCCCTTTGTGGACCACAGACTGCAAGCTAGAGACAAAGGCATTCTTCCAGCCCCGTCCAGAGCTGTTGCTCCGAGGAGAGGCAACGCCGGGGTAGGGCGCCCTGGGGAGACACAATCACACAAGCATCCTCGGCCATGCAGTTTCCGAATCGCACTTGTGATGGAATGTCCAATGGTATGCACAATTGTAAGAGCTGCACATGATCTCAATCAATTTTGTCCACTGTATCGAATTTAGCTCCAAGACGTCAAGCAGCCATTTTCTGGAAATTTTTATGGAGGGGGGTGAGACGACAGCAACAGGATTGCAGCAGAAAGGGTTCCAAGAGTTGCTGCCCCTCACTACCTTGCTGCCTGTTCAGCTGAGGGCTGGGTGGCATTGCCGCTGGAAGCCCTTGGAGGAGCTGATGACTGCTGCTGTTGCTGCTGCTGCTGTTGCTGCTGCTGCTGCTGCTGCTGCTGCTGTTGTTGCTGCTGTTGCTGTTGAGAATTCGCAATGTCTACAGGATGGGGCAGCAGAGGCTGCCGAATGCGCTGCCCCGGATGGCTTATGAAAGAAACCTACAAACAGAGACAGAACATACCTTATCACAAAGCAATGTCCAGACACCTGCCGTGTTCTTTGTACTGGCATATGTTTGTGCCTGGAGTGTCCCAGCACTGCAAAACGAATTTGCTTCCAAGAGCTATCAGAGCAAGCCTTGTGTTCAATGTTGATGGTGTGACAAAGGTATTGGTAGTCATTTGTCCTGTGCCCGACTTACTGGCCCCCCCCCCCCTCTCCCCAGCACCACTGTTCAGGAACTCCCACTCTGCTGTGTCAACACATGCACTCAGCCTTCAAGCCTATTGGATATCCACTTAAACACCTATACGTACACCTCTGTGCTTGTCCCCAGAGCTTGGGTATAGCTGGGTCACTTCGATCAATCCATCTGACAGCACCATCAATAGTTGTTCACTGACAACACAAGATGTGTTGCCCCCCGCGCCAAGTGCCCATTGGCAGGAAAGGGATGCCAGGGCGCAGGTTGACTTTCCTGTCCTAGAAGTGCCAATGAAAGCTGTAAAAAAGACACAAGACTTACGAATTCGCTCATGAGCCGCCTGGGCTGACTCCATGCTGACATGCTGATGTAAGAATCATGGCCCGCGTTGTTCGACACTGTGTCTGCCAGTTTTGCCAAGACGTTGTAGACCTGCGACACAGCTGGAGTGCAAATTCAGACTGTCGCACACTTGTAAGCTAATAGATGCATGGGCTGCAAGCACAACAGATTATGTGAAGCACAGCACGAGCGGCAGCCAGAGTCAAGAACATGCACCAATACATGCCCAAGCACCATGTACCTGACCTTTTGTGGGTTTTCCAAACCATCATCAGCCTTCTGATGGACATACAACTGCAACACAACAATAGAAATGCACACATAGCTCTCAGCATGATTGTACAATGCACTCTCAGCACTGGGGCAGGACTGCAATCTCAAGCAGCTGCTGCTGCTGCTGCTTGCATTCCAACAAAACAGCAACTTACCACATCCAGGCGCATCCCTTCCCCACTGCTGTTCTGGACATTCCATGTTGGCACACAGCTGGACCTTGAGTAGATCATCATCACTCGCAGCTCCTAAGCAAGATGCAAAGTAACATTTACAGTTGGCGCCAGGGCTGCAACCAACGGTTGTGAACAATGCATTCCATATGAACCCTGAACGTCCAGCAAACCAGACACAAGATTGCATTTCCATTGAAATGCAGCAAAACAGTATATGCTGCTTATTGGTTCCCAATCGAAGATGGATTGTGCCAGAGCCACGCTTATGTGCAAGCATGCACTTGCGATCAGAACGCGATTGCTTGAGGACTCTGCCACAAACCCTACATGGCTTGACCAAGCATGCTGGTTCATATTTCAACACATGTAACAGGAGCTCTATCCTTGCAAGAAACAAGATCAGCTCAAAAACTGCAGATAACAGATAGCAGATACCAAAATTTTTTCAAATCGTAAAACAACAGTGCTGAATAAACCGCTAGCAAGTACCATCACAACTGCATTTGATCACCAGTGTTGTGCGCCACAGCAACAAAGAAGGTACATAGGCACAAGGCAGCCCACCACCACCACTGCCAAAGACGACCACCAGCCCACCCGGACCACCACGGAGGGCAGCAACAGCTGAATCAACAATTGCCATGTAGTTGCTCTTCTAACACCTATTTCTCAGAAAAGCAATACACCAGGACAAACAAGGAACATTTGCAGCACAGACAAGTACTGTGTCTACCACAAGGAGGCCAGGTTGCTGCCTTCCCTTGCACATTATTTGACTGCACCTGTGCGCACACCACTGTCTGCACTGAACAACCAACAAGCAATGCCAGTGCCAAAGGGTGGCAATTGTTGAGCAAAAGTGATACATGAACAGACTCCCTCAGCCAGGATACAGAAGTTTACAAGAATAGGATGCACAGGAGCCCCTGACATCCTCAACGAGTGGCAGACAGAATTTCAAGCATATCAGTCAGACTGGGTTACCATTTGTACCAAACATTGTTTGCCTTCTATCTCCAAGGCGGCCTATGGAAGCACGGCATGTTACCTTGCAGTTGTAGGGCTGCAGCAACTGTAACAAGCTCCCAAACTCGAAAACATCGTATGCATACATTTGTGGCTTCAGCGCCTCCACATAGTCCAGAACGTCCTCCGGAGATGTGCGCAGACCATCCAGCCAGAACTCAGCTTGCTCCTGCTCAACATAAGCATATTCATGAATAGGCGACCAACAACACGTGGCAAACAACATTTTTGGGGAAGGTGAATCCCCACACTGCAGTTTGAGACAACAAGGCCCAATCATCACAAAGGCAACAAAGGACAGTACACAACGATTCAGCAGAAAGTTTCTGGGAAAGAGCAACAGCAGTGGTGGTCAAATTCTTACCCTCAGCAAGACGATGGAGAATTTGTGTCCCGGATGAAGTCGGCGCTGCAAAATGTGGAAAACAAGCAACAAGCATCACAAGAGGAATGACCATATCTTAACAACAAATTCAGGTCCACAAACCAGATCGTCCACTATACACACTCTTCCCTGCTGTCTCCTTTTGCTTGCTTCCTAATATTGTTTTGTGTGCAGAGGAAGAGCAATGTTCTTGTACATCGGTATTGCTCAACCTTCCAAATCCCCAAATGTGCACAACTGAAGGTTGGCAGCTGAGCATGAAAACAACAAGATCAACCATGGCACCAATGCCAAAACCAAACAATGTCCACACGAGCACCTTGGCATTGATAATCATCATGATGCCCTGCTTGATCCAATCCAGACGTGTGGTTGGTGAGATCCCCTGACCTGCACAACCACACAAAATATTCACGCTCAGATTCTTCCTGCTGAGATACAACGCTCCAAACCTTTCAAGCACACCATGAGTGCTTGGCTTACAGCCAGTTCAAGGCTGCCGTATTTTGTGAATGTTCACTTGGGCACTGTCCCGTACGCAGTGAACTGAGTGCCAAGGAAGGCTCACCCAATCCTTCCATTGTCTCCCAGAGGATTTAAATACAGGAGAACGGCGGGTGGATGTATGACAATATACAGGTATGAGGGATACGAGGGCACATGAGGATATAACGGGCTGAGCAAAGCGGATGCGTGCGGCAGCCAAGCAGTGCGGGCGACCTTTGCAAGACAAGAACTGTTTCTCAAGCAGTGTGTTGCAGTTTATGCGTCGCACTACATTTGCCACACCACACTTGCACAAAACTGACTTTGTGCCCCGATTCGAAGCAGAAGGGTTTGAAAGGCAAAGCCATTCGCTGGTGGTTTGCTGGGCGTTGCCGGTCTCACCTTTCACCTCCAAAGAGGTCTCCATGTCCATGTCAATTGCGAACACCAGGTGTTCTGCATCGTGGATAGGTCCCATACCCTGTGTAGCCTGAACGCCATCAGTTCCGTCGCCATGCTCGCAGCGCATGCAGCACTACTTCAGCAGGAATCCCAGGAACTGCCGTACCGCTGTGTCAACAGAGTGCGCATTCGAAACCATGGGGCTGCTGGTTCATGGAGCAAGACCCCAGAGGCGCCAAACACTGAAGCCCCCCCTCGTTCCTTTTGGGAACCCCACAGGCAATCGTGCACACCCGCGCGCCCGAGGGTGTGTACCCTGTGTTCGCAAAATGCACCACCACCACCACCACCACCATCCGTAGTTGCAAGTGCATCAAGCACCACATTACAAATCGTTTTTCCTCGTTGCAAATCTACCAAGCGGGCGACAAATCACCGAGACGGAAGGCATGGTTCATCCAGCAACGCGGGGCGAGCTGGATAGGTCCCGCTAAGGTTTCTGGACGCACAGTATGGACAATACTGACCATGTACCGACATCTGCGCGATCTTGGAGAGCCTGTGGACATGACCTTCTCCTGTAATCCCTGCCCACCAAACCGATTTCAGGGGATGTCGTGCGGCACTTTAGGACACAGGAATCAGTGGCAGTCCTGCAGGCAGCAGAAAACTGACCGAACACGGCACATGTCAGGAGGCAAGATGCATGCGTCATTCAAAGACATTCCGCTCTTGTTGTTGCCATGCGACTCCCTTCTGCTGCAAGGGTCCAGAAACAGGTCAGAACGGCCCTGTTGATGGACGATGCGACCTTGCGAGACAATTGGCACTGCACATTGCGCATTGCGCATTGCACATTGCTGTTGCATTGTGGAGGTACCGGTGGTGGCCGTGATCAGAGTCCCCTGACAATCAATGATGATGGCTTCGCATTGCACATTGAACACACTTCCAGCCCACCCACTCCCCACAGCTGCGGGCTGAGCAGCTCCTCATCCAGTTGCGGGCCCCGCAAAGGGCAACTTCGAGGACGCCCTTTGTTTGTCTATCTCCCGCCCGCAGCGCCGTGCAGTGCTTCACCAGGGGGGATCCGTGTGGGCGCCAACGGCAGCGCAGCTATGAGTTTTCCCTTGCCTTTGACGTCATGGGTGCAGGAACGATTCCAGCCCGTCGTCATGGTGGTCAGCAGCCCTGAGGCGGAGAAGATTTGCCGGGACAAAAACGGCCTCAGCACCGTGGACATCCTGCGGCCGTTCGGACACGTCCGGAACCTGAATGCCGCATTGAGGCTGGGCGAGCAGACTTGGCGCGTGCAGGAGATGCGCCTGCGCTTCCACTACGCCTCCGATATCGACCCCGTGGCCGCGGACGCACTCGACGCCTACCTGAAGAATATTGTCACGAAGGCTGCGGACGCCCATTTCGACAGTGTGCCGAAGGATGTCCAACAGATCACGGCCGCTGCAGGGACGACGGACATGGCGCCCTGGTTCACGGCATACAGGGATGAATTCTTGAGGCTGCTGAGATTTGAGGGGCACGAGACGGTGGACCATCCCATGGGGTGTTTGTTCATAGCATCCTCAGAGGCACCAGATCCATTGAAAGCCTTTGATGATCTCATACAGTCGGCTCCCTGGCCCCCCCTGATGCTACAAGAGTATATGTTTCCAGTCCAGGACGACGATTTTCCAAAGGCCTATGTGCTGTTGCACGATGGCAGCAAGGGGGGCCAGCAGGGATTGGAGGTGGCAAGGGAGAAGCTGAAGCTGCTACAGCGCACATACAGCGCAGGGAGCTGCACGCTGCTGATCATCAACACAAGTGGGGGCCGTTCTGAATTGGTTGGGTCCCCGCCGGTGCCCTATGAATCCTTCTGGAAGCCAAGAGTACCGGGGGCGGGGGTGGCAGGACTGGAAGGCGTGCCAGCCGTGCCTGACATAGGCCTGGGTCGTTGGATGTCAAAGACAGACACCCATGGGCTGAAGGATTTTGTGGAGAAATATGTTTCCCGGTCTCTATTGCCCAAACTGGACCTGCGGATAGGCAAGCTCAGTTCAGCCCTACTTGTGAAGAAGAAATCCTTGGCGGGTAGGCTGCTGGACAAGACCTCATCATACCTTAAGAATCTGACACCTTCCAAAGACTTGACAACTTCCACTGGGTTCAGGTACTACACCCCAGAGTCTCAGGCCAGGCAGCTGGGAGACATCCTATTTCTGCTGCATCGATACGAAGATGCTCAGGAGGCCTACACCTCAGTAACAGTTTCCAAAGAGCACTATCCAAGAATGTATGCTGGACTTCATGAATTCCAAGGCCTTTGTCAGGTGATGGCTACAGGTTATGGGGACCCTAATGTGCACTTCTCAAAGGCATACGAGTACTACATGAAGGTTCCTGGCAAGACTGGGCGACAATTGGGTTTGCGGACAGCGATCATTCACGCTGCCTTTTGCCAGCATTCATCGAACTACACTGCAGCAAATCAAGTTCTTCAACGAGCCTTTGAGAATGAAAAGCACCTGAGGGGTGCTTTGCTGCTTGAGCAGGCTGCGCTGATGTTGTTCCTGCCAAAGCCACCACAGCTACGCAAGTTTGCCTTTCAGATGGCACTTGCTGGCCTTTGGTACTACACTGACCTCTTCAAGGGGCTTGCAATGCACTGTTATGAGTCAGTGTACACCCAGTATGGTGGGCGTCGATGGGAGGTCATTGAGGAGCATATTGGGGAAATGATGCTGACGTTTGCAACAGAAAAAGGTCAAACTGAGCTGGCAGTCGAATGGGTGAATCGGTTACTTTCATTGGAGCGCCAGTCATCGCCTGTGGAACAAGACAAGCACCTGAGAATGCTGTGTGATATGCTGTCCAAATTGGAGGTAAAAGGGAACAACATGGTCCTGGAAATGGCTGTGCCAGCAATCGACATAGTGGACATTGAAGTGGCTGGTGAAAAGGCTATGGGGAACTCACTTGCCAAAGAGGTTGGCGGTGAGGCCTGGCGGCCACTGGAGAATAGCTTCAGGGACCCACAGTCTACAAGTTATGCAACAGGCCTGGGCAGCCTGCCCGATACCCCTGACGAAGACTTCCACACAGCAGTGTGCGGGGAGCCAATCAGCTTGCTGTGCAAGTTTAGCAATCCCCTGAAAGTTGAGCTTACACTGGAGGATGTCCGGCTGCTGTTTGATGAGTCACCAGCCAACAATGATGACGCGGGTGAGCATGGCGACACTGCTGTGTTCAAGCAGAAGGTTGTACTTCATGGGGGCGAGTCAACCTTTGCTAGGCTCACCGTGGTGCCACACACTGTGGGTAATATGCGCGTGAGGGGAGTGTCTTGGAGGCTGAGGGGTGTCATATCTGGGAAGAAGGTGTTCAACAGTGATCTTTCTAAGAACAGGTATGCCCGATGTCATGGCATCCTGCTGACATGTTAATATGTCCGCTCCCCATAAGGGGTCACGTTGCCAAAGTAGAATAGATGTCATTTGCCAAGGTCATGTGGTCTTTCAAGCTGCTTTATCTAAGCTGTTTCCCTCTGATTCGACTGCACAGCCTTTTCACGTGCCTGGACACTGGTTGGAGTCGTTGAGTGCTTACAGAACTCCCAGAAATACAGTGACATATGTTGATGACTCAAGCTTCAGTACTTTGGAACTATGGAACCATTTGCAACCATGGAGAACAAACCAAAGCATGTTTGGTGGTTGGTCACCGCCTGTCAATTGTGAAACAGTTGTGAAATAGTCACAACAAGACCGAGCTTGTGTATTAGTTACATGGCTTCAGTACTTTGTGTGACGAGTGGCTGTTGTGCACTTTCTGGTGCACTGCAATCTTCAACAACAAGGCTGGCTTACTTCTGCTGGAAGGGGGTGCACTGGGATTCATGTGCACTGCACCTCGTTTGGTGGCGTGCATTTGTGCAGGGCCACAAGTGGCTTACATGCCTGTGTTCCCCTCCATAGAGCGAGACTGTCCCTGCAATGGATAAAGCATTGCTGTGCATTTGTTGCAGCGTTCTGCCCTTGCGAGCAAAGGGTTACCATCCATGGCTTACATTCTACATAGTCCGACCGCTGCCCCTCCTGGAGCCAGTTTCGATGCCATGGCCAGAGGAGCTGTGGGTTGGAGAGGTGTGGCAAGCGGACTGGAAGCTGCGCAGCAGTGGTGGCGTCCCTCTGCAAGATGTGCAGCTGGCTGTCAGCTATCCTGACTTGTTGGCTTGCAGACCCGTCGGCATGGCTGCCCAACTTGACGTCGATGGAAATGGCTGCACCGATGGCAATGTTCCAGCAGAGCACAGACGAAATGGCGATAACTGCGTCTTTGACTTGGAGATGCCCAACCCATTGCTCCCTGGGGAGCAGCTGTGCACATCGTTGTGGATCTGTCCCTCACAGCCAGGTGACTTCACAGTGCATTGCATGTTTCAGTATGAGGGCACTGACAGGAACATTCCACTTCAGAGACGCGTGCTGTGCATGAGCTTCTTGCTGCATGTGCAGCCCATTGTCGCCATCACACACCAGGTGACACGGGACCCATACAGGCCATCCTGCATCTTCAGCATCTCGCTCAGGAACCAACATCCCGACGAGCACTTGGCAGTGGAGGAGATCACATGCAAGGGGGGAGATTGGGGCATCCAAACAATGTCAGGGCCATCCAACAGGGTGGATTTAAGCCACAGGAGGAGCATTGCAATGGACCTTCCTCCACATCAGCAGGTGGAGCAGCATTTCCTTGTGCAGTCAGCACAGTCAGACAGGACTGGAGTGGATGCTTGGTCAGAAGAGGCACAACGGCAGGGGAGCCCAGTTGGCTGCTCGACCTGTGGCGCTTTGGAGCATCTGCAACAAAGGCAGTGGGCGATGTCGTGCGAGTGGTCGCTTGCTGCCAGACCCCCCATGTCGTGTGACACCCTCAGACTGTGCCTAAAGTGGCATGAGTGTGTGCCCCAAAGGCGCAACATGGCGGGTCTCGTGAAGCCACGATGGGGCATGCACTGCTTCACATATTGTTATGACAGGTTTGCCAACCCTGTGTGCCTGGTGGCCAAGGGTGTCTTCAGTGTCACACATGACTTCGGGCAGCAGCCCACGTGTGTTGTCCCTGTGGCCGTCTATGTGAGGAACTGCTCCACGACCACAACGTCTGTGTGTGTCGAGGCAGGAAGGCAGTGGGAGCGAAACAGGGAGAGAAACACCTGGATGGCGAGTGCACTCCCAACTGGTGGAGCTGAGGGAGGTGCTTCCAATCCAGACAGTGCACCAGGTGGTGAACGCACACCTGCAGGTCTCCCAGCCAGCCGGTCAGCATTGTGGTGTGGTCAGACACAAGTGAGTGTGCCCCAGGTGGAGGCAGGAGAGGAGATAAAGGTGGGGCTGTGGGTGGCAATTTCGCATCCTGGGGTATATGAGATGACAGACTACTCGTGCTCATGGAGTTTGGAAGAATCCACGCCTGTGCATGGTAGCACAGATGGGCCGCCTCTGCTGCTCACGGTGATGGATAGGCAGGCTACGAATTTGTGAGGAGAGAGAACTGAGCGCGTGTAGGATCTGCTATTCTTGGAGCCACTTGCCATAGTGGAGCCAAAGGCTGTGGGGACATGGTTGGAGATCATTCTTTATTGATATTTGCACAGCAGTGTTAATTGCATACAAGACTAAATGATAGATCCATGTACTTGTGTAATTTTAGTGGGCTCTGCGTTTCCTCAGTTCGTATATGCCGCCTTGTAGTCTCCGCGTTTTGGCTGGTGCTTTCCGTGGTGTACTTGGCATATCCACATCATGTCGGTCAGAACTGGCTTACATATGGAAATCTCATCTAACAGGGCATCAGTTGTTGAAGCACCTCGCATGTACATCAACCGAGATAGCCTTGCCCCTTGCAGAGCACTGTGGCCAACGAAGTCCTCACTACGTTGCCTATTGTACACCTGCCTACGTTCGATGCGCCTCATATACCAGATCAATTCTCCACAGAATGGTCGAAAACAGGGTTGAAATGCGACAGGGTTGAAGAACGATTGTGGGCCCCACGTCCTGATGCATCAGGGAAGGGACTGCGTTCGTCCCATATGAGCATGTTTTGTTGGCAACCGTGTGGCTCGAATTGTCCCTTTGGTGTTTGCAGAATCTCCGAAACACAACAGTGTTCTGCTTGGCTCATATGTTCGCAATCGGAGTCATGATAGGGCTGGGAAGCTGTGTAGACCGTGCTCTGGCTTGTCTGGCTTGACGCAACATAGCCAGCCTCTGCCACCGATCTGATGTGCACACTGCATCGCCGTCACACCATGCAAATTTCATACTGGACCATTACGATCCAGAGCACTCCCCAACAAGTTGGGAGATGGCATCGAAGGGCAGCGTCCGCTTTACAAGCGACTGGTTCGCGTTAGAGAGCAAACAGCCAGTGATAGAACGCACTGTGTTCTTAGTGTCGAATGCACTCTTCCGAACTTCTGGTCCCTGGGCTCCATTGTGATGCTTTGCCAATTCTGCTTGCCTTTGACGCTGTATTCAAATACAGGACGGCAGTGACACTGTCGAACCCAGGTTGTGCACTGTTCATGCATGCAACTGAATTCAGTTCATAGAGACAAGCCAGAAGAGCACAGTTCGGAGCTCAGCAGGAGCTACGCAGGAAAGAAGTCGATTGTGCGCCCGCGTTCGCCGACCACCCATCCATCCACTGGCTTGCCTTTCATGAATACCAATAAGAACGGCAATCCAATCGAACTGCCGGTCGATGCGTCTTTATGCTGATCCATCTTTCACGTCACTTGCGAATTGCATCATTAACGCGGCAGCGGACATTGGTGTTTGCACCTACCAGCCCTGCAGTGTGTCCGCACTGCTGGGGCATCCGCTCGCCAGTGCTGCTCTCCATTGATGTTGATGCTGATGGCTCATCTGTTGCAAATACCAAATCACGACAAAGTTACGCCAGATCACAGGTCATTGTTTCTAATTTCGCCACCTGTAAATATGTACTGGCAAGCGGGAGCTGTTGGAATGTTGTTCTTGTTTCATCGGAACGTGGCTGTTGGAGGGCATCCAGTGAAGTTATTCACTACGGTTTTACTTTGCACAACGTACATCACATTGTTGGCGTTGAACAATGAAGCAGGGCAACCAATTCTGGCGACACAGCAAGACAACATTGTAGGCCGAGAATAATGGGTGGATGCTTGCAATAACAAGAATATCACTGCATCCTATCCCTTCTGTCCAACAACCGCAATATAGCAGGAGTCGCATGATGCAACAGGTCAGAACACCAAAGGTGCCACTGCTTTTCAACAAAGGTTCCCAAAGCACAGCTGGAACGCTGAAATGAACCTCCATACCAAAGAGAAACACCGCTGATCAAGAACAAGGCCTACGAAACTACCAACCTAGCGTCGCCAGAGCACGAAAATGTGATAGAAACTGAGCAAAGGATCCCAGAACCCAAAACCCATTGCGAGCTGTCACCAAGACACAAACTTAACACTGAAGAAAGCAGGAAAGCTGCATGATGGCCCGTGGCCCTCATGAGCCAGGGCGGCATCCAAATGTGGGTCGTCCAGATCCTGTCCAAGGGAGCAAAATGATGGCAACCCCGTGCCGGCAAACTACCCCAATCACTTTCCATAATATGACTTATAAGATCCCCTGAATCTCCACCTCCAATCCAGCTGCCCTGCTGGCCGGTCGGTCGGAAGATTGTTTTGGAGTCTGAACACTGGCGCTATTCCTACGCTTTTAGCACAAGGCTTTCTATTAGCTTAGTAACATAATTGGTGCCTTGCACCAAAACTGGTGCAGGATACCACCAAAATGATGCCCCTTGCGTTGTGCTCATGAACAAACCGGCGCTCCAGTTTTCGATGAAAACTGCGCTGGGCCCCAAATCTAACAAAAAACGCACCCCAAGTACGAAGTACCTGAATAATAGCGTAATGGTCGAGAGACACCAGCGGTGCGTATTGGGCAATTGAGGGCATCGACTGTTCCAGGACGGCTCCACGCAGTACAAACAACGTCCACAACAGTCCAAAGTATGTTTGGTATTAAGGGAAGGTGCGCGCAAGTCATGGAGGCCACAGTTGCATTGGATGACAGTGCCCTCACATAGAGGGCTGGACAACTGTAGAATTCTAGAGACTAAAATTGAGACTGCACGGCAGCAGCCCACCTGCTTCAGCTCCTCTTGCGTAGACCACTTCCTCTTATGCTGTTCGCAAACTTCCAGCCTGCTCTTCATTGCAACTTGCCTCCAGATCCGTAGACACAACCCGCGCACCCTTTCATCGTGCCAGCTGCAGGCTACTTCGGAGAGGCAGCTTCCATATTCGTCATTAGGTTCTGCCGTGCGTCTCACAAGTGGTTGCGACATTTTAATACGTGCATTCCCGAGTTCCTCCGTGGGAATTGCAGATGGGGGCATGGGGGCGGTCGTACTGCAGTGATCCACATCGGCGACGGGGGAGCGTGATGTCGCAGAAGTAGTTTCAAATTCATATAATGGACACATGAAGGAATCCTTCAGATAGCTCTGCGGTCGTGCCTCCTTTCCTTCATGTTTCTGCGTGGGCAACGAAGAGCATATATCACCAAACACAAGGAGTACAATCTTTCGGATTTTGGAGCGTGAAGTTTGGTTTGGTTGGAAACAATCTTCTTCTGGAAGTCCTGATCCATGGATGTGATCAACACCAGAAAAAGGGATAAGATGTTTGTGCAACATCGGATACTCGTGTGAACGAGTTGCTTCCCAGCGCGCTGGGGAGCAGCTTAGGCTGGTTATTCGACCGTGCGTCTGAACGTGCGTCTGACATCTGACAGAGTGCGATGGCACTGTATGGGCCCTGATTTCCAACGAACCCTGTCACTAGATCCTCGATCTGCACTCGTCCCCGCACATGTAGAGCACCTTTATCGGTCGGTGCTATTGCACCGGCGGTGCTATCTAGGAGCAGTTGTCATTGGCTGCCATGCAGCCTGCTAAGGCGGCATTTACCGAATAGAACCGCTGCTATTGCTCTCCTGAGCGCATCCGCAATGGTGTGTGCTATTCCTACGCCGAATAGCATCAGGGCAGCACTACAATGTTCTGCGCGAAGACTGTATTCACCGGGTAATAATAGGCGTGTATTGGAACCTCAAAAAGAACTGTGGATACCAATAGTGTGTCATGGATACTAACGAGGTTTAAAACCCTGATCTAAGGATTACACAAAGAAAATTCTAAAGTAGGCCGTAAAAGTCCCAAAAATATGTTTGAAATAATACAAGATGCAGTGCATAGCTATGCACCTATAGGTATATAGGTACGCTACCTATAGGTAGCAACATCGCCAAATCAAAATTACAAAATCATGGACATCACACTATTGACAACTGCAGATTGTCAGCGACAATGCTGCTTCCACCACAAATCCCAAACAGAAACACAGAAACGCACTCACAATCAATCTTTGTCAACATCCATATCTGATGCAAAGCCATCAAATTCCTCATCGACACCTTCCCCGGTCATCAGCAATTTTGACGGGAGATACCAGCATGTTCGGGTGGACGGCGGCCCTGCCATCTGGCCCGGTTGGTGCGCCTCCGGTCTAGCCGAAGGCAAGCTTGGGCGAGCATGGCGGAGAGTGTGTGGAGACTGGTTGTGAGAAGCGCCAGGGGCAGCGGCTGGGCACGTGGCATGCATGTCGCCAGGCGCGGCCTGGCGCTGCCAACAACAACCATCGTCTTCCCCCAATGGCAAATAAAAGTCGAAGGAGACCCCATAGCGCGTTGCAGGCACGTGCGTAGGTGGCTGACAGGCCACGCTGCGCGCAGTTGAAGTGGTCGGATGCACTCTACAACAGTAATTTTTGTGCAGCCTCGTGCCCCAGGATCCAGCGTGACTGCCGCAGATGCGAGCGCCATGATGAGAATTGATACAGGAACAAGCAATGCCACCAGGTCAGCTGACAACTCCTGGCCCGCAACTGTGCCATGGATTCATGGCCTGCAGTCGCTCGACAAGCAAACAGGCTTCTTCCCCATCAGATTAGCTGCTCACGCAGCCATGACATTCATCGCACTACAGAATGGCCGGCTTTTAGTAGCTGTTGCACGTGGAAATCGTGCAACAACAGTGCTGTGCAAACAAAGACCTGCAAACTAGCTTCCTCTCCCGAGGCAAATTCATTGAGCCCTCTCGGGCTCGTTGCTGTTGAGGTTTTGGGGGTTAATACTCACACCGGGCCATGGATACTAGCGTGGTTTCGAACCCTAAAGAGGGGGGTGGATACTAATAAGTGGTGCCTACTAATTCTGGTTAAATGCAGTAGTCTCGGGTGCTATTTTGGGGTGCCAAGCGCTGCTATTCGGGCCCAGAACAGCGCTGCTCGGCGCCGAATAGCATCGGCGGTGCTATTAGTGTGCTGTTGCTCCCCAACCGTTAATGATGGTTTTTTGACGTGCAGTGCTAGTGGGATGGCCGATTTGCACGCCGGGACAATAGCACCCACCGATAAAGACGATCCCAT